TCAGGTTTTCCTCCACATGTCCTCTCCCTTCTGGGTCCCCAGGTACAGATGTGCTAGTTTCATGGAAGAGGGAAAGATCAAGAGAGCTAGGGCAAACACACGTGCTATCTTTTAAAGTTTCTGCTTGCGTATGATGACACTTTGACCAGAGTCATTGTCAGCTGAGTGGGAAAACACATCCCTCACACAAGAGGCACTTCAAATCACATGACAACAGGTGGGAATGTCTAGTCCTCTTACAAGAAGGGGAGCAAATACTGAAGGAATAGTAACACAATCCACTACAAGCATATCATAAATGAAAAAGGAGAAATAACTGCAAACATAGCAGAGATTAAGAAGAGAACACTACCAACAACTATATGTCAATAAATTTTAAATCTTAGATGAGATGGAAAATTTCATAGAAATCTATTATTTACTAAACCACTTCAAGGAGAAATAAGATATCTAAACAATCCCATAAGTATTAAAGAAATGAAAGCAGCATTTTAAAATCTTCCCCCCACAGAAAGCAGCATTTTAAAATCTTCCCCCCCCCCACACTGGGCACAGTTTACTTAAAAAAATAAATTAAAAAAAAAAATCTTCCCACACAGAAAATGCCCAGCCCAGACAGTTTGATAGGTAAATTCTACTGGAACTTGAAGGGAAAGAGCATTCCAATCTTATTCAAATTCTTCCAGAGGATATATACATAGAAGTAATACTTGGGGAACCTGGGTGGTGCAGTCAGTTAAGCATCTGCCTTCAGCTCAGGTCATGATCTCAGGGTCCTAGGATCAAGTCCTGTGTAAGGCTCCCTGCTCAGTGGGGAGTCTGTTTCTCCCTCTGCCCCTCCCCCTGCTTGTGCTCCTTCTCTCAAAAAAATAAATATTTCTTTAAAAAGTTATACTCCTGGGATCCCTGGGTGGCGCAGCGGTTTGGCGCCTGCCTTTGGCCCAGGGCGCGATCCTGGAAACCCGGGATCAAATCCCACGTCGGGCTCCTGGTGCATGGAGCCTGCTTCTCCCTCTGCCTATGTCTCTGCCTCTCTCTCTCTCTCTGTGTGTGACTATCATAAATAAATAAATAAATAAATAAATAAATAAATAAATAAATAAATAAATAAATTAAAAAAAATAAAAAGTTATACTCCTTGTATTATTCCTTGAGCCTTATGACACAGATGAAGGCAGAATGAAAAAGGAAAATCACAAGCCCATGTTGTTCATTAACGCAAATGCAAAAATCCTACACAGCATATAAGCTGAGTACAATAGCATACAAAATTGGTCATACTCTATGGTCATATAGTTTAACCTAAAAATGCAAGGATAATTTAATATTAGAAAGTCTATAAATGTCATTTATCATATTAATACATTAAAAGATGAGAAAAAATATGATCATCTCAATAGACAAACTGATTAAATTCAATATCCATTCAAAATAAAAAATTTTCAGTAAACTAGGAGTAAGAGGACCCTTCTTTGACAAAGGGGATTTACAAAAAGCCTACCAAAATATCATTCTAAATTTATTTACCAAAAAAGCCTGCAAAATAATTCTAAATTTCCTTTTGAAAAATCAGGATCAAGGAAAGAGTGCCCAAATCAAGAATGTGAAGAAGGCATCACCATTTCTATTGACATTATATGAGAGGTCCTAACCAGTGTTATACTTTAAGGAAAATAAAAAGCAAAATGACTGGAACTGACATTATTTTCATATGATTATTTATATAGAAAACCCAAAAAGAATCAATAAACAAATGATTAGAAAGAATGGACAATTTATTAAAATCAATGACAAACTGTTGTATCCAACAAGGGGGCTATATACAATATCAATTTACAAAACTCCTATTTATTTCTACCCTAGCAACAAACTATTACAAAGTGTAAATTTAAAGGATATCACAACAGCAACAAAACTTACAAGGTATCTAGGAATAAACCCAACAAAAACTGTGCAAATTGTGGACACAGAAAATAGTAAACCTTTACTGAAAAGACATTAATGAAGACCTAATAAAAAGATAGCTATGAATTAAGACAGAGTCATAAAGGTGCAAATTCTACCCAAACTGATCTGTATATTCAAAGCAATGCCAATTAAAATCCCAACAAGTTTTGTGTATGTGTCTGTGCAACCAGAGAAGCTTGTTCTAACACATCTATGGAAAAATATAGGACCAAGAATAGCCCACGCAGAAGATGCAGAAGAAAAATAAGGAAGATTCTTCCTACTAAATAATCGAGACTTTTTCTATAGCTATGGTAATTAAACAGTGTAGTGTTGACACTAATATCCACAAATCACACAGTAGAGCAGACAGTTTAGAAGTACAGCCATGTTAATGTTAATACATTACCATGTTGGCACAACAGTTAGGAAAGGTGGGGCTAAGTCAAAAAACAAACCTGGGCGAGGGGAGTCATTTGTAAAAGGTAAACCATCAACTAAATTCCAGAGAGCGTAAGAATTGAAGTGTCAAAAACAAAACTAAATATTTTTAGAAGAGTAAGTTAATATATATTAAGGTTGGAAAAAAGTAAACATTTATAAACTGAAAGTTAAGAACGTGTATTTATCAAAACAGAAAGTGAAAAGACAAGCCATATATGAGAGAAGAAACTTGCAACACACAGAAGTAACAAAGAAGTAGTGTTCGGTACAATTCACTAAAAAAAAAAAAAAAATGAGCAAAAGACATGAACTGGCTATTATAAGTGAGCCAAAGATGGCCTCTGTATACAGCCCCACGGTTATTTCTATACCCGGAATGGGACCTCTAAGCTCAAAGCCTGCCAGTAAGTACCACACTTAGATGTTTACACAGGGATGCCTGGGTGGCTCAGTGGTTTAGCGCCACCTTCAGCCCAGGGTGTGATCCTGGAGTCCCGGGATCCAGTCCCACGTTGGGCTCCCAGCATGGAGCCTGCTTCTCCCTCTGCCTATATTTCTGACTCTCTCTTTCTGTCTCTCATGAATAAATAAATAAAATATTTAAACCCTTCAGAGTTTTCTGACCCAGAGACTTCCCGCTGGGCTGCAGGGCAAGGTCACCTAACAACCTGGGAATTTCCTTGCCCTCCGCTCCTTCTAGATGCCCCAGGGTCTCCGCATGGTCTAGTTGTGAGGGACTTCAGCACACGTACGTCAGAGCTGGCAAGAAACGTGTGTGTGTGTGTGTGTGTGTGTGTGTGTGTCTGTCACCTCGTGGTCATACCTTTTTGATCGTCTGCCTTGAAATCCCTCAAGTCTTGGCCAATAAATACACGAGACGCTTCACCTCAGGGATGTGCCAAGAAGGCTGGGATGAGACTATTTAACTCCCATTTCATTGCCCCAGATGCAGAAGTCTAAAGCATTAGGGAAGAAAATACGGATGCGGGTAGAAGTGTAAACTGCATAGCCACTTTGAATAAAGATGGCAGTATCATAAGAAGGTAAGCGCTAACACCCCCAAGACCCATCAATTCTACTCCTAGCTAATTGGACCCAAGAAGTTTTTAGCACCAAAAGGCAATGCCTCATAACAGCACTGTTGGAAATAGGAAAAAAAAAAAAAAAACAACAGAGACGGCAGAGCTGTTCAACAGCTGGAGAATGAATAAATGACACGCTCACATAGTGGACCGCCACGTAGCCGTGACTCTGCGGGGGGCCGCGAGGATGAATCTCAGGTCTGACCGAGAACGCCCGCCCAGGGTCCCTCGGTGACACCCTAGCGCCCAAGCAGATAGTATGGGGCGCACTGGCGCTCAGGAGTGGGAGTGGGTGCCTAGGAGGGAGCCGGCTGGGAGGTGCCCAGGCCCCTGCCATCCCAGAAGCCTACCCAGGCCGGGATCTCGCTTCCGGCCTTCAGAGCGCCCAGAAGAGGGGCGCCTGGCGGCTCAGCCCCTGCAGCACCCGACGCTTGGTTGCAGCTCAGGTCTTGATCTCGGATCCCGGGAACAGCGCCACCCCGCCCGCCCCCCGCCCCGGGACTCCAGGCTCAGGGCTCAGCTTGAAGAGTCTCCCCCGCCCCTCCCCTCCCCTCCGCTCGGAAACAAATCGATCCAAAACTAAAGAACTGTGAGAAGTAAATTGCTGTTGTTTCTAAGCCTGCGGTAGTTTGTGGGGGCGGCCTGGATGAACTAGACATTTGGTACGCGCTTGTGAACGTGCGTCCAGAACACCAGACGGTTCACCAACACAGAAACCACCGTATTGCTTAATAAGGACTCTACATGTGAAAGTAAAGCGCTGGAAGAGCGGTGCGGACAGTCAGGCAACAACGTGAGGGGACCGACCCCACAGGAAAGTCACCGGGCGGCCCGGCGGCCGGTCACAGGGGGGTCACCTCGGGGCCCGCGGTGCAGAGCCGGCAGAGACCAGCCCTCCCTCCCCCCGCCCCCCGGCGGCCCTCACTACGGGGCTTTCTAGATAAACTGACCCGCCGTCCTAGGACCACATCTGAGCAAGGAATTCCGGGTCCTCGAGGCCGTCCAAACACCCCCGGAGCTACACACCGCGCCGGGCGTCGGCGAGCACCTCCCCCCACGTCGATCCCGCTGACCCGCACCCCCGCCCCCGCCCCCCAGCGAGCCCCCCACAACACCCACAGCAAAACCCCGGCGGCCACCACGCAGACAAAAGAGGCGGTGGTCACGTGGTGCGGCCGCCCACGCCCGGCGCGCCGTGACGTCAGCACTCGGCGACCCGGCCATTGATTCCCGGCGGCAGCGGCGGCGGCGGCTACGTGGTGGGGGCGGGCGGGGAGGGTCCGCGGCCGTGGCAGCCTCTGGGGTCGCGCCGCGGCCCGGAGGATCACTGCACCCGGTAAGGAGGCTGTTTCCTTCCCCGCACCACCTTCCCGACCCGAGCTGCGCAGGAGGGGGGGTTGCGGCTGGGGGCGGGAGGGCCGGGGACGCGCACCGGGGGTGTGCGTGCGCGTGCGTCCGGGCGCGTGCTCGTGTGCGCGCGCGTGTGTGCGGGGCGCGCGGATGCTCTGGCTCGCGTGCGGTCGCAGCCCAGCGGCTGGGTACCACCGGCGCTGCTGCCCTAGGCGCGGACCGCGGCTGGCGCGGGGCTCCTGGGGCTCGTCCGGGGCCGCGCCGCCCTGCGCCTCCCCGCCGGGACCGCTGGCGCCCGCACCGCAGCCCGGAGCGGCCTCCCGCGGGGCAGGCGTGGGCGTTCGCCGCCGACAGCCCGCAGCGGGTTGCGGCCAGCGCGGTGCCGGGTGCCTCGGCCTGGCGGTGCTGCAGGAGGCCTGGTTGCGTCACCGCCGGCCCTCCGCCAGCTCGGCGTGATTCTTGGGCCCGGCTAGAGGGTAAGCCTGCCGCAGGTGTGTGGTATCAGAGTTTGGGAGACCTGCCTGTCCGGGGCAGGGCGGGGGATCTCACAGGCGCTCGACCCGGGCGGCGGAGGCCGCGCTGCCGGAGTGGCGGACTTGGCACACAGGCCTGTGCGGTGGCTGGTGCCGGAGGGGGAGGCCGGGAGGTCACGGGCAGCGCAGCGCGCAGGAGCATCGGATGGCTGAGCTCCTCTCTTTACCTAAGGAGGCTCGTGCCCATCGTTTCAGAGCCCCGGAAAGGTCTTTTCCCTGACTTAATGAGCAGTGGCGTGCTTGCTAATGGGAAGCGGAGGACTAGGTGGAAATGGGCATGAAGGGTGCAGTCAGGTCTGCCGTTTGCCGTCTGTGTGACGTTCAGTGAGTTAACTTCTCCTTCTCACCTGGGAAGCGAGGGTCATTATATTTACTTTGCAGGGCTATTGTCAGAATTTGAAGTGTCAAGCTATTATTGGGAAGGGCACAGCACCGAGGCACTTGAATTTGCTCCCTTGCTGAAGGCTTCCTTCCCATTGGCACAGCTGATGGAGAAGAGGGGGAACTTTTTGCTGTTTTGGGTATTTGCTCTTCTGCCAGATGTGATGAAGCAGACGGGGGTGGGGGGGTCGAAGAAGGAGGAATCTCAAAACCCATAATCTCTCTACTAGAGATCTTGTAAAATTTTAGAACTGGAAAGAGGCTAAGGCCTCACGTTCTGAATTATAGCTTCTTTTTGTTGAGCACTTGTTATGTGCATGACACTGTATCAAACACTTTATATCCGCTAATGTAATACTTCCAGCAACACAGTACAATAACTAAGCATATCCCCATTTTCCAGATGCAGAAGATGAGTCTTGGTCCAAATCCTGACACTAGTTGATAGCAGAACTGGAACTTGAACCCAGGCTTCTCAGGCTGTGTGGAATTTGGGTCTTGTTATTTATCAGAGACTAGAATCCTAGCAGTGTGAATCTGCTGTAGTGGGGCAATGGAAGCATAAGCAGAGTTCAGAGAGCCAATATTTACTGCAAGAATAATATTTCAAATTGTTCAGTGATAAATTATCTTTTATTTTACATTTTACCCAGCATTGTCCAGATGTGAACCAAGATTTGGCCTTTTCACCCAGAGAAAAAGGAAAGGCTCATGGGCACACAGTGCTGGGATCGTGGGCACACAGTAGGTATTTGGCATATACCTGTGGAAAGAAGAAAAAACTTGAGGTATTGTTATTTCTGCCAGAATGAGACCCATTGCTTCCTTAAGCTAGCCATTCTTATACCGTAACAGTATAATATTAGCATCTTTCTTAAACGTGGGTTTAAAGATTTGAAGCTGTATTTCAGACCAAGATTGGTCTTATTATCTGTGACCAACTGATTAGAGTTTTCAAATACATGAACAAGAGGATCTGAGCTTTCGGCATCTGTAGTGATCTCTTGAGACACAGCAGTTTATTTTGCATTAACATCTGTTATAATTGGACCATAATGGGTCCAGCTGCCTGGTGAGTTTTCTGGAGAACACTGGATGATTTTTTGGTACAGGCTGAATATTTCAAAATATTATGGTGGTGGCAACATGGCAACATTAAATATTTAGGAGACACCTGTGACCAAGGTGCATTAATGTGGGGATAGTAAACTGGTGTTAAACAGATGATATTCTTGGTGTCTTTGATCAGCTGTTCTGTGTTAGTTCTCTGTTTGAAGATGACTTAGGGCTATAGAGTGGGTTATACAAACTCAGGTTTATGTTACTCCTCCATATAGACTGACTTACACACACATATCCCAGGACCTGTTATTGCTGCTCTGTACCCTCCCAGATGCCTGAAAGCCCCCTGTTTCACTGTCTTTATCAAACTTAATGGGGAAAACTCTAACATAATCTAGGCTCCCATTCCCCTGTACACTATCACAACCACACACACAGTGAACCTTTTTCCCCCAAAAAAGGGTATGTTAATCTAGTTGCAAACGGCAGAAACCCAACATAAACTAACTTAAGCAAAAAAAGCGTTCCCCTTCCCTCACTTTGATAATGTAACCAGGAAGTCCAAAGATGAGCTTCAGGCATGGCTGGATCATGAGGCTGAAATAATGTTATGAAGACTCTCCTGGTCCTGCCTTTCTCTGCTCCTTTTTGTTTATTATTATCATCCTCATTTTATCCTGCTGCTTTCTTTACACACACTAAAAAAGCTGAGCACTGGCAGCCCCAAGCCAGTGACTTTACAGTTAGTTCTCTTCTGCCTTGTAACTAACTAATAATGGCCAGGGAGACAGGGATGCCATGGTTGGACAGATCTGTGTCACAGGTCCACTCCTGGGATGAAGCAGCAATCTGCTCCTCCATAAACACATGGGATGACTACTGTATGCATGCCTGTGCACAGCCACACTCATAGCCACTTGGAAGCCCTTCCAGAGCCCTCCGACTAGAACTAAACCTGGTTTTGTCCATTGAGTTGTTGCTGTGTTGTGGCACTGATCCTGAGCCTTCTAGCCGTCCCACACTTGTGCGGTGGCTGCATCTGCCCTGTCCCACTGCTTCATCCGATGACTGCCTTCTGGACTCAGGGCATGCTTCTCCTGGAAGCCTTCCTTGACCTCCATCAATGAGTTAGGCTTCCTCCCTGTTCATGGGTAAACACCTGAACACAGCCCTGTTGTTGATTTGATTACTCCCATCCTTAGTTGGCATCATTTCTCTTTTTAACAGTTGTAACCAATTGGTGTGTATTTATTTGTTTATTGCCTATCTCTCATTAAAACATCAACTTTATGAAAATAATGAGGATAAGAATTTTTGTTTCATTTACTGCTGTATCTTCAGGACCTAGGACAGTGCCTGACACGTACTATGTGCTTAATAAATGTTTATTAAATGAACGAATGAAAATCTGCCCACAGGGAGAAAATGCTGACATCGTGTTGATGAGGACTCCAGTCTGCATGATAGATACAGTTCTCATATAAATGTCTGTAAACTCCAGTCCTGCGGGTCCACCGTGGAAAGGCAGAACCTGGCCCCAAGTGCCTGCAGAGGCCAAGGGTCAGGCCCCAAGGAGAAGCCACCTTGAAGCTCAACCCCATGAAATGTTTCCCTCCCCACCCAAACCTCTTTAAGCTATGATGGGTTGTATACGGAGGATTTTCCCAATTTATTTTTAAAACATTAATTTGAGCACTTACAATGTGCCAGGCACTGTTCTAAGTCTTTTATAAATAACTAATTCTTCAACTGGAGTTTTGGGAACAAGGGTTGTGAACTTTAAAACTTTTTTTAAAATACCAATCAGAGGGATGCCTGGCTGGCTCAGTCAGAGGAGCAGGTGACTCCTGATCTTGAGGGTGAGTGCAAGTCCCAGGTTGGATGTAGAGTACTTAAAATCTTAAAAAAAAAAAAAAAAAAAAAACCCAGTTAGGAAATTCTGAAAGCAGTGAGACCCCTCCATGCAGCCCATCTCACCCTCTAGAGGTAGAGCTACCACCTCTGCTGTGTGTCTCCTTCCTGACCTTACAGTTTTAATTGCAGCCATTAAAGAAATGAAATTATATGTACATATCCATATGTGTATACGTATATGGGTACAGAGACCTCCATCTGTACTGTGTCTAGTGGGTTTGGTTGTCACCCAATGCAGCCAGGCTCTGTGTGCCCCTCCGCCTTTCCCCTTCTGCCACCTGCACCACTGCTCCCTGAGACGCAAAGCTGCCCTGCCATGGGGGCTGCAGCACAGTGGCTCAGGGGACTTTCAAGACAGGGGTTGTTCAGGGGTTGCCCCTCCGCCCACATCTGTACCCAGTGCCCCGCAGAGCACATCCGTTTTTCCTGGTTACTGCACCTTCCTGGCAGAAACCCTACCCAAGCCATGCCCACTCCCTCGAGTTTCTTCTTGTAACACAAACAAGTAGTTCTGGTAGCAGGAGAGACTTGAGGGGGGAGGGCTCGTGTTTAAGCCCCCACTTAATCTCCACCTGCAGCACCCCACCCCTGCAGGTGTCGTTCCGATGCCCTTCTAGAAAAGTGAGTGCAGGTGCCCCAGGCTGCCCACCCTCCAGGATTGGGTATTTTAACTAAAGAAGGAAAATCTTCACCACATTGAAAAATAGTGTCTAGCTTTAATTTGCATCTTTTGTTATGATGAGTTTGAATTCTTTTTGCATATGCTTACCATTTTTATTTCTATTTTTAAGTTCTCAGTTAATATTTGTCTATTAATTGCATTTTTTAAATAAATTATACAGATTCCCTAAATAACCTGAGTATGTGCTCATGAGAAAAACAAACAAAAAACTTCATTTACTGTGAATATTTTTCTAATTTGTTTGCCATCTACTTTTGGCTTTTTCATTAAACATGCAAAACCTATTTTTCATTATTCTGTAGACAAATTTTGTACTTTTTTATTTCTTCTTTTGCTTGTAAGCTTTAAAATGTTTTTCTTCATTCTGTATTCTAGTATTTTATGTTTTGCTCTTTTATTACCTTAAAAAGCTAATATTCAGTTTTATTTCCCATTTTAACAAAATATTTGATGCAAATATGTGTAATGTCTTAAATAAAATCAGTTTGAATTAGATGAAGGTCTATGTTTTATTTTACATTACATTAGTGTATATATCATTTTAAAATGATTTGTCAGAATATCAAAGCTTGTTTCTTGAAGCTGAGGTTGAAATGTATGTATGATTCTCATAATTGATGTTGTTAGCACACCCATGAACTGCCATGTGGGTGGTGTTTACCTGTGGCTGCTGCTCTAGTTCCACTGGCAGCTTTTCCCTGTGGAACCGCAATAATGAGTTTACCCCCTTCCAGTTCCCTCATCCCACTGTTTCCCTAAGACTCTTTTATTATGATATAATTCTATTCAATAGACAGATGTTTCAATGAATATTGACAAATATATCTAGCCATTTAATCACAATCCAGATCAGGAAAATAAAGCACTTCCATCACCCCCAGAAGGTTCCCTTATGCCCCTCTGTAGTCATCAGTGTCCCCAAAGGTCTGTCATCAGCACAGAGGAGTTGTGCTGCTCTGAAGCCTCTCGCGGTGGAATCCTGCAACACACTTCTGTGTGAGGCTTCCTTCAGCAGGGCTCAAACCTTGCCCTCTGTATAAACGTGCATCAGCGTGTGTGCTCATCACATGATGGACATTTGGTTTGTGTCCAGTTGAAGACTTTTAGGAATAAAGGTCTATGAATATTTTTTTCTTTTTTCTTTCTTTCTTTCTTTTTTTTTTTTTAATTGAGGTACAGAACATGTAACCTGAAATTTATGTCTTACTGTTTCCAAGCTTACTGTTTGGAACTTTTCCATGGTGCAACAGTATATCTACATTTGCATCATGAAACATCGGGAACTTTTTCTCTTGCAAATTCGAAACTGTACCCATTAGACCACACAGCTCCCGCTTTCCTCTTTTACCCCTGGCTCTGGGAACATTCTTACAGAAGCCTCTCTGTGGCTGTTTCTTTGTATTTTCCTTGCTAAGTATGCAGGAGTACAGTAGCTGAATGTGAGGGCAGTTGCATGCTGTGCCTTAGGAGGAGCTGCCAAACCACTTCCAAAATGGCAGCCGTTCGTGTCACAACCAACAGTGTCCGAGAGCCTCCCTGCCCTGTGTCCTCACCCAATTTAGCTTTTGTGAGTTTTCTTATTTTAGCTCTACTGAGAACTATGAAGTGCTGCCTTACAGTGTTAGCACCAAGTATTTTAATCCTTTATTTACATGGCTGCTTCCATTACAAGACTGTGCTTCTTCTTAAGGGCAAGTTTCATGCCATTTGTATTTATCTCTTTATTCTTACTGATTCCCCACCCCCATTTTGGGGGTGATAGATGCTTTAGAACAAAAAACTTGAAAATTGTAGGAAACTATAAAATTGAGTAAGATCACTTGGTGATCTTCCCTTTCGACGTCCATACACATTGGTGTCTTTTGTACTGTGCTGTATTACTTGACCCACACATTTGTCGCATCCAGCGTGGGGCAACTCAGCCGCTCAGCTGTGTCCTGTGTCCTTGCATCCGCTGTGCTGTCTCAGGGCACCACCTCTTCACGGCAAGGAATCCAGTCAGCTGGGTGTGTTTCATTAACCAGAACTGTCACATGCATTCTTGGCAAGAAAATGGAATCGCCAAGAGGAGTTTATTAGACTAATTACAGTCCTCCCTCTGGGTCTGGGGAGAGACCCTGGCCTCCGAGAAAGGTGCACCGAGTCAGGGCTGTCTCAGAAGGAGGGCAGGCAGTCAGCAGTACCTGCTACTTAGGCCTGTTGTTTGCCAAAGCTAAAATTGTTCTCTAGTTACAAGTTTATGTTATGTTCCTTTACTATGATTTACACATTCTCCGTGGCATTAACTGTCTATACCACTTTTTGTGTGTTGTGTAATTTATACTGTTCCAGCGTCTACACGATCATGTCTGCAGTTGGAGACATTAAAGCTGTTCTCAGTGGTTTCCTGTTGTAAACAATGCTATAGCAAACTTAAGTCTTCATACTAGATTTCAAATTCTCTTTTCAAGGTAGATTTTTATGATTTTATTATTTATACTAATAATAACTAGTAATAGGATTACTTTTTTTTAAAGTAGGCTCCACACCCAGCGTGGAGCCCACCATGGGGCTTGAACTCATAACCCTGAGATCAAGACCTGAGCTGAGATCAAAGAGTTGGACGTACAACTGACAGAGCCACCCAGGAGCCCATATGATTACATTATTAATAATAATGGTTTAAAAAAATAATGGTTTTGACTATGAACTGAGGTTATGGACATTGAAGACATTGGACATACAGTGTCCAATTACTTCATTAAACAGTGGAACCCATCATTGGTCTTACCGCCAGTATAGTCAAGTGTCTATTGCTCCTCCTCTCCTCGCTGTTTCCTTTTCTCCCTCTATTCCACAAATATTTGTTGAGCACCATCTATTGCCAGAGGACTGAGCTGGGTCATGGAAGTATGAGACATTTGCTCAGGAGAGGCAGACATGATGAGTAATTAAGTGATCATGCAAATATGTGATTTGTGATAAAGACTGTGAAGAAAGCTTTCCTATGGTTATGGGTACTATAGATTTTATATGGCTTCTGCCCTCTGGCATAGGGACAGGACTAGAGGAGAAAACTGTGACTTGGCTTTTTCAAGGCTGCAAAAGTACTCTGTGGCTGTTGGACAAACAGAATGGAAAGTATCTTTTGTGAAGCCTGATTAGGGGAGGTTTGGCCAGGAAGTGGGGGCATTTTGCAGACCTGGTTATGACCTTGGGTCCTGATCCAAAAACCAGTGGGTAGCCATAAAAGGTTTAAAGAAGGGAGATGGCAGTGACTCAATCATAGCTGAGAATATTTTGGATAGAGCCAGAGTAGATTCCTAGAGTCCAACATTAGATTGTGAAGGTAAGTAAGCGTGGAGTCCCCAACTAGCACTGAGTAATCTCATTTTTTTATTACCAATTTTATGAATGATGTAAATCATACTACATTTTCATGTTGTTAGTTATTAATATAATTGAATATTTTCCCAAGTGTTTGATAGGCATTTGTACTTTGGTATATTTGTGTGATTACCTTTTTTATTGACTGTAGTTTTAGTGGGGACAGCTTAGTGTAGTGGCCAAGACCACCTGCTTTGGAGCCAAAATGCCTGACTCTGAGTCCTGGCTCTGCCAGCTGCTGGCTGTATTACCTTGAACAACCTCTGTGGCCTTTGGTCTGTCTCTGTTTCCTCTTCTGTAACATGGGGTCAACAGTAGTGTACCTCTCTCATAGATGATTTTGGGGATTAAAGGATAAACTACAGTGTTGGACCCTCTGAGCACTGTGTCTGTATGTGCTATCTTGTTTCAGTACCTGACACACACACACAAGCTCTCCCTTGCATGTGTATTGTAATAGTGGTTCCCTTTTCTCATTTTTAGTTAGTGTATATATAAATATAAATATAAATATAAAGATTTTATTAATTTATTCATGAGAGACACGAGGAAGAGGCAGAGACATAGGCAGAGGGAGAAGTAGGCTCCCTGGGGGAGCCCGATGAGGGACTCGATCCCAGGACCCCAGGATCACAACCTGAGCCAAAGGCAGACGCTCAACCACTGAGACACCAGGCACTCTTATTAATATATTTTTAAACTTATTTTTGAACAGTGTCATATCTTTTGAAGTACAAAACTTATCTGCAGTGAAGAGATGTCCTTCTCTTTTCTGATATCTTCCATTGCTATGAAATAAATCCTACATACTTTGTTTTTTAGTGTTTTTCTTTCTTTATTTTTTTAAAAGGTCTAACTTTATTTATTTTTTAAATTTTTATTTATTTATGATAGTCACAGAGAGAGAGAGAGAGAGAGGCAGAGACACAGGCAGAGGGAGAAGCAGGCTCCATGCACCGGGAGCCCGACATGGGATTCAATCCCGGGTCTCCAGGATCGCGCCCTGGGCCAAAGGCAGGCGCCAAACTACTGTGCCACCCAGGGATCCCTTTAGTGTTTTTATTTAAAATGCAGATAATCCTTTAATCCATTTGTAATTTATTCTGGCTGATTAATGTAAGGCAAGACTCTAAATAGATTGTTTCCCCCAAAAGCCTCTGAATTGGCTGAGCTCCATGTTTTGACATACCCTTCCTCCCCTACAGTGCTTTTGGCGTCCTGTCCTGCATTGGGCCCATACATACAATAAGGTCTATTTAGGGAATATGGTTCTGCTCTGTCAGTCTTTAGCTCCATTCTTATATGATACCAGTACTGCCATGAATTAATTAGTGTAACTGTCTTCATTTTGTCAAATAGTGACTCCTTACTGCTCTAACCTCCTTAGATTTTGCAGTAAACTGTTATTTAATTTGGCTCTACTTGGCATTCATAGGCTGTTCCACTGTCCTATTTGGGGTTGGCATATCCTACTTAAGATATATATTCTTCAGCAGAGTTTTATACCTTTCCACATGAGATTGTTCACATTTCTTGAGATTATTCCTAGATGTTTCTCTCTCCTTTTTTTTTGATGTTTTATTTGCTATTAAGAATATAGTATTTTTATCCTACATATAAGGAACAGGTTGTGTTTTGTATATTTTTCTTATATCCAGCCATATTCCTTGACTGCTGTTGGTTCTAAGAGTTTTTCATTCTGCTGATCAGTTAGTTTTGATATCATCTGCACATAATCTGTTTTTTCTTTATATTTTAATTTACCTCATATTTCTGTTTTCCATTATAAAATACGCTAGAATCTCCAAAGCAATTTTAATACCATATTTTTTTCATTCTAAGACTGTTGAACATAGAACATGCTACTGATTCAATAATAGCTTTTGGGGGCTACCATATGAAATGTACTGCACATTGTAATTCACATTACAATATCAGAAATGTTAGGAGTGCATCTCAGAATTGAAGAAATAAGATAATAATAGTAATGGTGGCCCTCCTTATCTTATTTCTCATTTTAGTGGGAATGCTTAACCGATTTTATTTTTTAAGATTTTATTTATTTATTTGGCAGAGAGAGAACACAAGCAGGGGGAACAGCAGAGAAACAGAGAGAAGCAGACTCTCCACTGAGCAGGGAGCCTGACATGGGCTCATAGGATCATGACCTGAGCTGAAGGCAGACACTTAACCAACTAAGCTACCCACTCACCCCTTTACCAATTTTAAATATGATATTGGCGATTGGTTTATTGTATTTTTTCAAATGAAACAAAAGATGCTAATTGTGCTGCACAGTAATGAGAAAAGTATACTGTTTGGTTGAACTACAAAGTGGAGATCATGGCTATGCACGTCGTCTCTGACAGCTGGTCTGTTTCAGTTTTTTCCTTTGACAGCCCCAGGCATACAAGTCCCTGGCTGCAGAGCGAGGTCTGTGCTCATTTTGCACTTGGAGCTCCCTGGCTTGCCTCAACCATCAAGGATGGTGTAGTAATTTCCTGGAGCTGTAGTACAAGTTACCACAAATTTTTGGCTCAAAACAACAGAAAACTGTTCTCATAGTTCTGGAGGCCAGAAATCAAATTAAATCACTGTGCTGAAATCACAGTGTCACAGGGCTGTGCCCCCTACAGAGGCTCTAGATGAGAATCCCCTTCCGGTGGCTGTTGGCTGCCTGCATTGCTTGCCTTGTGGCTGTAGCACTCCTGTCCTCAAGGTCAGCCTCTTCAAATCTCTCTCCACATCCCTTCTCTTGTGAGTTTGTCAATGCTGAAGGCCAGGCTGGCAAAGCCTTATTTATGTCTTCTGGGAATGACCCTGTAGACACCTGCAAAGGGCTCTAGTGCAGTGTCCAGAAAGTCAGTCCACTGAGTGTCTACAAGAACCTCTCAAGCTTGGCCCCTCTGGTTCCCAGTCTCCTCCTCAGTCTTCAGCTCTACAGCAACAGGAGGCGGGCAGAGTACATTTCTTCTAAGACTATTATGAAGATGGAATTAAAAACTGCTCAGCTAAGACTAGAGAGCTTAAAGAAAAAAGTGAAGTCAGCATATTGCTTATTTAGTAAATTGGTCATTCGGAGAATTGACCATTTGGCAAAGGACTGCTCAGCAATTGGCTGTTGGTAACTAGGCTTCTTCCCCACGAAACAATGCAGAACTGAGGGGCATCGTAGGTCTGCCTAAACACAAGGCTGCACCTGTCTCCTCTGCCTCATACAGGCAGTGAGATGGGGATATCACCTTTGCTGGGAGCTGGGACTGAGCCTGTCCACTTATAGGCTGGCTGCTAGGGAAGAAGAGAAGTCAGAAGTGAATGGGAGCCCCCCCCTTCTGCCATGGACCCTGACTTAGAAGAGCCCAGATGGGGGCCAGTAGCTGAAACTCTGTGTCAGCCAGAGCCAGACTGGAAGTCAGTCACATGGCATGTGCCAGGCCAGTCTGGCATGGGAGAGACAGATTGAGAGTGTCAGGAACTGATGCATAAAGTCACAAGAAGGTTATCTTGTGGAGTTTTAGAAGACTAAATATACATGAATGGTTTAAACTTCCATGTGAAATATTTAGCACAGGCCGGGTAGCCTTTATTCTTATACGGTTTTGACATTATTACTAATGTTGTATCTTTCATGTATGAGAACACCTGCTATCACAATGCCTGGTGCCTGTAGATAGTTGATAAATACCACTTTTCTTTCATTTACCCAACTTTGATTGGGTACAGGCAGTTCCTGCTAGTGGAAGTGCTATTAGAGACGTCTGTGTCTTCTGGGGTACTTGAGACATCTCTTACCTTATTGCAACTTCAAAAGCCAGTCTAGTCATTAACATCAGATGTCAGCATAAATACAGTTGCAGAACACTCCTCAGCTGTTGGACAAGTCACCGATCTATAAGCAGAAAGTCTTACAGGTTATCAAAGCAAGTGGGTTATTTTGAATAAACACTAGCACATCCATGCATAAATGTGCATAAAGCCAAAGTGTGTAACTCAATGAACTATGGGAAATCAGCTAGTATTCGTAGCTCTGTGAATTACTTACTATGGATTTCCTAGGACTTAAGAACAGGAGTTTATTTATGTGCATGTCCTGTTGGGAAATAAATGATGCGGTAGTAGTTAAAAGTAACTTAGTAATTTATTACTTTTTTAAATAACATGTTTGCAAGCTAAGTAGCATACATTCACAGGCAGTACATTTGTGTTGCAGCATGGCTATATGAGCAAATATTGAAGGAGTTTGCAGATGTCTGCCATACAAAAGGGACATAGATGGTTCAGTTAGATGTAGCCTATATGTGCATAAAGTCTGGCTATAGGAAATGATGGAGTAAAAGGACTGTTGGAAATATGCCTCCCTGCACACAGTCAGGTTATACATAATAAGCCAAATTAATCATTTCAAAGCCAGACTAACATTTATAGTTCAAAAACAAAGACAGCAGAGATTGGAGACTAAAGCCAGCCCAGCAGACCAACCAATAACACTTCCTTCCCCATCGCTGGGGAAGTACAACCCACAGAGGCACACAGAGAGCCAGCAGCCAGATGGGGAAGCCAGACTTTCAGATGCCGAGGGAGGGGCCTTTTTACGCATACCTTATTTTCTGTGGTAACTCATTTAGGTGGTTGCTAGAAAGTAGCCCTAGGTGGTATGTGCAGAGGAAGACTTGCATTTGGGGTACTTCCCAAGCAGACATTCATGGGCCCCAGAGGGAGCACCTGGGTGTTCATGGTCCTTTTTTCCAGAGGAAGCATGGGAAAGGTAGGCGCCTATGAATTACCATTACAGGATTGAGGGCAGGTTTTTGGCTTGTTTGTATTTTGGTTAATTTTTTAAAAGTGCTTCATCCAACTTGTCTAGTCCGTACAATAGGGTAGCATAAAGATTGACATCACCGCCTCACAACTATGTGGGAGCCAAAGCAGTCACTGAGGGGTGATGGATACTCATGAGGTAAACTGTCTGCAGGTGCTGGAGCTGCTGGGGGTGAAGGACAGTGCATGCTCAGCCTCTCCGGGAGCGGGGAGCACATCTTCCCTTCTTCTGCACCGCAGCCTGTGGCAGGTAAAAGGGATGGAGATGGCAGTGGGGCAGCTTTCCCTGCACAGTAGTTGTGATGGAGGCTTTTCTAGACCATTATTGTGGAAGGATCAAAGGCTGTGGGATTGCTTAGCCCTAGACAGGAAAACAGAGGTAAGACCTACCACATTTTACTTATGTGGAAAATAGAACATAAGGAGACAGGCTGGAAACACACTAGGGAGACTCTATTGTTGTTTTTAACCTTTTCCAGTTGTGAAATGTAGCACATCCATGCATAAATGTGCATAAAGCCCAAGTGTGTAACTCAATGAACTATGGGAAAGCAGTCAGTATTCGTAGCCACCACCCATGTCAAGAACTAGAATATCACCAGCACCCAGGATATTCCTTCCTCCCTGGAGGTAATCCCATCCTGGCTTTTGTGCGGTGCCTACTATAGGTTTGCCCCATTTGGGACTTCATGTGGGTAGAACCAGTGTGTACATGATTTCTTTTGCTCACTGTCACATTTTCATAATTACCCACTTTACTGCTTGGGGTTACAGTTCTTTCACATTTGCTGCTGTATAATACTCTGTCATCAGCATGTGCCACCATTCAGCCATTTAACTTTTCATGGACATTTGGGATGTTTCCAGGCTGGGAGCTGTTACAAGTAAGGTAACTCTGAACTCTCTGTACATGTATCCAGGTCTGGAAGTGGAACTGCTGAACTGTAGGGAGTGAATCTTCACACCTTCCTACATTGTGGGAAACTGGTTTCCCATAGTGATAAGGGGCTGCTCTGCACCCTGGCCCCTGCCTGGCCTGGTCCAATCCGACGGTGGAGGTGCCTCTCTAGGGGACAGGCAGTCACTCTCTGTGGCCTTTCTTGTATTTCCCCGACACAGTGAGATTGTACCGCTTTGTCGGTTTGCCCGTCTTTTCAGTTTCTTCTTAGGAAATTCCTTTCTTTCTACCCAGTAGTCTGTTAGTCACCTAACCATCCCTCTAAAGGTCACTGTGTGTGGGGGGGTGTGAGGATGTAGAACACCCATTCCCTGCTTGGAGGAGAAGTCACTCAAGGCAGATACATAACCATAGCATTGTGATCCTTGCTGAGGGCCATTCTTCACCATCAGGCTGTTAGCTGAGAAGGCATATCCTCAGTGCCAAACGCTTCACATGGCACACACTAGGTGTTTTGGCAAGTTCTGTTAAATGAGGCATTTTCAGAGGATGGCAGAAGTGCTCTAGTAGGGTAAGTGCTGAGTCATGGAGAAGCACAAAACAAGGAACTACAGACTGCACCCACTCCTCAACCCAGAGTAGGTGAGGCTTTCCTAGGAGGTAATAGCTTCATCAAGCAGATCTTGAAAGACTGTTTCATCAGAAGGAGTATAAGACGTACATTCTAGGCCAAGGAATAAATGTGCAAAGGCACAGAATGGAGAAAGCACAGCACACCGGAAATGTGAAATTGGGATGATGAATACTTGGAAGGTGGATGCTCAGAGTGGACCAGCTGGACCTGATGCTGGGAAGGGCTGCCTTGTGAATCTTACAGTGGGGACGAAGTGGAAGTCAAACACAGAGAATCATTTCCTCACTGGGGAGGGATGGGGACTATCTATCACCAGAATTGATGGCTTGGACAAAATAGAGCAAATATATAAGCCTATCATGAAATCACTTTGGGAAGTCATGGCCAGGGTGATGCAGAATAAGGCCTGGACTTATCAGCAGCACGTCTTAAGCCTCAGTTTCTACATCTGTAATTTGGGAATCATGCCTCTCTGGCAGAGCTGTGACCAGGAAGGAGGTAGTGCCTGGAGAGTACTTAACCCTTGCCTGAGGAGAAAGGAACATGTGCTGGGCCTGTTTCATGATGTAGACCCTAAAATGTGCCCATGCTGTTGTTGGTTTAAGTTCGTTTATAACATGCTGGGAATGTAAACAAATGGTCCAGAGTGGGAACTGAAGAGAGCTGAAGTCATCTGAAGAGAGCTACCCCCACCCCGTCATCACCACACTAGTGCTGGACTCACAGGCAGAGGCCAGAGCCTCAGGCTGTTTCTGCAGAGCCGGGGCACAGCAAGGCTTTGTTTCCTTTTGCTCTGTCCCTTGTATTCCTGCGTGGGGCAATGCACGCATTTAGCTGCTTTCCTATAGAAAGGCTATCTTGTCCCAACGTCCTGCAAGAAAAGGATTAGATTGGAATAGGTGTGAAAGCAGATGGCTCCTGCTGGCTCAGTTCAAGCCCCTCCTCCTTGCTAAACTTTCCAAAGGGGAAGTCCTTCAGAAGAAACGAAAGTGAAATTGAACCTGGGCCATTTCGCCTCCCCACCAGGCCGCCTGCCCAGGCTGTTTACTACGCTGCTGACCCCCAGTGGGGCACTTGGCGTCTGCTCAGCAGGCGGGTGGCCAGCCCACCTGGGGAGGGCCGCCTGGGTGGGGTGGGGGGGAGGGAGGTCTCCAGCTCTGCCCCAGGACATGCATCCAGGAAGCCATGGACCCCAGACAGGTAAGCCAGCCAGGCCGCCTCAGTGCAGACCTTGCTGGCCTGTGCGTCTCGGACCTGAGTGTGCTGTGCCTGTGTGCGTGGGCTTGTGTGTGTATATGCTTGTGTGTGCTTGTATGAGCATGCGCCATGTTCTAGGAATTTGCCTCCTGCCTGTTAATCCCTCGGAGCTGAGCAGTAGGGGAAGGACGCTTTAGGGCAGGTTGCGCAGGGGTCAGAGGAGCAGAGCCCCGGCCTAGGCAGCCCTCTCCCTTTCTGCAAGGGCCCAGTGTTAGCGCCTCTTGGGCAACACGCTTCATTCTTACCCACCCCCTCTCTGCACCCTTTCCACTTCCTTTAGGCTTCTGGGAAAGGAAAAATAGCCCTTCTTACCTATAGGAGAAAGTTTGTACAGAGCAGCTGTATTCATTATTCTAAAACCTGGAAAAGCCTACTTGCCCTTCAACAGATGATTGGATTAGCAGAGTGGGTAGTACGATGGTATACTGCTAGGCCAGAAAGGAGGAGGAAGCTGCTGGTCCCACGACTAGAACTTCACATTCACTCTGCGCCGCCGCAGAAGAGGCCAGGCTCTACGGGTCCTTTTACACGACACTGTAGGAAGAACAAAGCTAGAAGCACAGAAACAGGAGGCAGCTGGGGGAAGGACTGATGGCATAGTGCATGAGAACCTTCTGGGGAGATGGAAACTGATGAAGTTTTGGAATATAGGCGAGGCCCAAAGCTGACGACCAGAAAAAAATTCTTGAGACGTCTTTGGTGCAAAATGGTGGTTTTATTAAAGCCCTGGGACGGGACCCGTGGGCAGGAAGAGCTGCTGCCCCAGGCTTATGAGGGGTGGCTGATTATATACCTGGGAGTTGGAGGGGTTTGGCAATAGCTTACTCTCTAAGGAATTTTGGGGGCAAGGTTTCCAGGACCTTGAGGGGGCTAGCTGTGGTTGGGGAAAGGTTATTACCGTCTAATAAACCCTGAGTCATGAGACCCTTCAGATGGATATGGGTGGGTCATGTGCTTGGCGGATGATTGCCAACATGTATCTTGGGGGGTAGAGATAAAGGAAATTTCTAAAGGAATTCTTATATGTTAAAGTAGACTTACAGGCTTCTGGGGGTCAGACTAAGATTGCCTTTTGCCCTCAGCAAAGTATGAACATCGAGGCAGTGGAGTCCGTAGAGGAATGTCCCTTTGCCTGTTTCAAAGACTTGTCAATATGCTGTCTCAGGCTCATGCCTTGTCCTCAGCTAGCCCTGTGTTCCCCCATCAGAAACGTCCTGTACTTTGATGGTGGCGGTAGTTACAGGGCTGTATATGCTTGGACTCCATACAGTCAAAACTCAGAGTAATACACTAAAAAGGATAAACTTTATTATGTAAATTATACTTCCATTTTTAGATGCTATATCCCTCCTTGAGAGGATTAGGGACACCTGACCGGAAGGAAAAGCATTTCTTCACACATACCCATATATGACCCTGTGGAGCCTGTGTGGTAAAAGTGGAGGCTCAGCTCTTGATCCTAAATGTGTGAGATTAGATAAAAGTGAAATGGGTAGGGCCATGAATGTGAAGTGACTGGGAGATGTTGAGGGATTTAGGAAGGATCCCCACGGGCTCACTCTCCCATTCAGTGACTTTCCATGTGGCTGTTCTCAAGCCACGCTTTGGCTTGGCTTTCAGGAGACCTAAGGGGTAGAAAGACAGCACTCACCCTGTAAATTCCTTATAACTGTTGTAAACAGTTTGTTGTAAACAAATCCACATACACTCTTCTTCCTTCTGTCTCTATGTTCACTGTGCTGTGCTCACACATGCACATAAGGTGGGGCTTTTCCTTTTGGTTCCAAAATGAGCTTATAGCCTACCTGTTCTTTTTCAACTTGCTTCTTTGTTGTTATTTAATTTAACATTGTATCATTCCTAAATTTTCTCCAGGTGAATATGAAACACATTGTTTAGAAAAAAAATACTGTTCCATGACATAAATGTGTCATAAGACGTTCGGCTCCTCTTCTATAGTTGGACATTCAAATATTTTGCAGGTTTTAGCCAAATAGCAGCAGTTTAAATTGGCATTTAGCAAGAAGCTGACTTTAACCACTTTGCAAAACAATTGTTTTACCAGAGTCACTCCAACAGCTAGTGGGAAAATCCCAAAAGTCCCTGTGATGATGCTGTTAGATGGAAGAGTTGCACCTCTGGGGCATCTTGTTTCCCCAGTCTAGTGCCTCAGATGTTGGGTCAAGATCATGCTAGAGGTGCAGAGATAATATAGACATGTCCTCACGCCCCTGGGAGCTCACTGTGAGGTAGACTGCCCCCACCCCCATCCCCGACTCGATCCCTGATGGAGACTTTCAGGAGTGGAGGCTCGAGTATAATTTCTGCAGCACTTGATATTGGTAATCACTTTGCAGGTACACCGCAATCTATATATGCTGTTAAAAGAAAAAAGCAGGGGATCCCTGGGTGGCGCAGCGGTTTGGCGCCTGCCTTTGGCTCAGGGCGCCATCCTGGAGGCCCGGGATCGAATCCCATGTCGGGCTCCCAGTGCATGGAGCCTGCTTCTCCCTCTGCCTGTGTCTCTGCCTCTCTCTCTCTGTGTGTGACTATCGTAAATTTAAAAAAAAAAAAAATTTTTTTTTAAATAAAAGAAAAAAGCAGTAGTAAAGTAAAGATAAAAGGTAAAGTAAGTGGTATAATAGGAGTTGAGAGGGAGAGGTTCAAGGAGAGGAAACTCCCATGGGCTGCAAGTCAGGAAAGTCTCCAGAAGGAGTAGCAGTGAAGGAGATCTCTAAGGGAAGGGTCAGAGCTGCCCCGGGGCAGCAGAGACATGGTTGGGCACGCTGGTTGGAGCAGAGGGGTGCAGAGATGAAGGCTTTGTGCAGCCTTATGAGAAGTAATTAGGGGCTGGCACTGGAAAAAGACACATTTATGTGAAACTATGGGGTGGGGGCAAACAAGATCATGCTTAGCAACTACATAGTGGACGTGGGAGGCAAGGGAGGAAGGCCAGGGGCAGAGCTGGCTCCGGTTTCCACGTAACAACCACGAGGGGAATCCTGCCATCAGCAGTCATAATAGAAGGGCTGGGTTGAGGGGAAAGGTTAGTTTGGTTCAGATTATGTGTGTTTGAGGTTATGAGGGGTATCTACGTGGACAGATTGGGCGTTTAGAAATTCGAGTTTTAGCTTTACAAGGTGGTGGCTGGAGGGAGGAGATTTGAACACTGGAAGGCTGATAACCCGGGGAAGGAGGGAGGAGCCTTAGACAAAATCTTGGGGACCAATGATACAGAAGGGAAGAAAGGAACTTGGACAGACAGATAAGGGATGGGAGACCCGGGGGCCATGTAGCCAGGCCATGGGAGAGGCGTCTGTAAGCACACTCTTCATCCACTGTGAGCCCTTGTACGCTTGCCAAACTGAGCTGACCTCCGAGTGAGGACCAGAGCTTCCACACTGTCTGCATCCTCCCGCAGTGTGTGGGGACCCCAGAGTAAGCAGAGGGGACAGGGCTCTAGGGTAGGAGGGAGCTGGCCACAAGTATATGGAAGCCTTGGGAACAGCTGAGCCCCAGTCACGGTAGCCACTGGCACAGCAGTCCCTCCAGAGCACAGATGGAAGCTGTAGAAACACAGGGAAGTCACTGTCAGAAAAGAGCAGGACTCCCCAGACTGCAGCCCCCACGTGGGGCTTTGTTTGACAAGTTGTGTGCCACGGCCTTGCCACTGCCCCTGGACATATGTGTGGTCCTTTCCTGGAAAGAGCTCCAGGGTCTGAGGAGTGGGGGTGGCCCCAGCTAGAGGAGCAGGGAGATAGAATGAAGGGCGGACAGGCCACTAGTGTGGCCGAAGGAGGGAGGTAGGGGCCATGAAGGAACCCTGCAGTGAGGGCACCACCAACCTAACTGAGAGCCTAATTGACGGGGTGGGGGTGGTTGCTGAAGTTCTAGTAGGCAGGGCACAGCTGCCTGCTGCTCCCTAGAGCCTTCAGAAATTCCAACAGGGGAGGGGACAAGCCTGAGGAAACACTGTTGCTCCCTGTCACCCCTGCCCCCTGGGTCCCTTAAACTATTTTTTTTTATTTTTTATTTATTTATGATAGTCACAGAGAGAGAGAGAGAGAGAGAGAGAGAGGCAGAGACACAGGCAGAGGGAGAAGCAGGCTCCATGCACCGGGAGCCCGACATGGGATTCGATCCCGGGTCTCCAGGATCGCGCCCTGGGCCAAAGGCAGGCGCCAAACCGCTGCGCCACCCAGGGATCCCCCCCTGGGTCCCTTAAATGCCTCCTGCCACTACCCCTCACACACACACACACACACACAGCACCCGGGAAAGAGGACAAGAACTGGTCCATGTGGTAGCAGAAGAGGTCACAGGTGCTCAGTGTCCTGGAGGAGCTGTGACAGTGCCGCAGCCTGTGCTCCAGAGAATGGGAGGCTGGGCGACATGAGGTGAAAGCTGTCCTTGGGAGGCGGTAAAGGGAGTGTGGGAGAGGGGACAGCCACAGCACACATCCCAGGGAGGCCAGGGTGGTTTGGGTGACAGTGCCCAGTGTCCCTTCTAAGCCTGGGTGCTGCGCTGAAGCATGAGGACAGTGTGTGCTTTTTCCCTGAGGATACTGTAATTTGGGCCTCCTGGGGCGGGGGGGTGACACGTGAAGCTGCGAGGTCCAGTTGTCCTTCCCCAGCTGGAAGGAGGCCCTGTGGTGGCCTCGGAGGACTGGGGATCCGGCCATCCCACCCAAGCGTATCTTTCCATTGTCCCCGCCGTCCAGATCCTGGATTCAGGAGACCTGGGGCCCCATGGAGACTGCTTCCTCATCCCTTGACTCCCTTGGCATTTTGAGGTGGTTGTTCTGCTTTGTGTTTAAAACAAAATGGTACTTATTTGTTTTTATCTTAAAAGGTTAATTACTTTGCAGAGTGGACAGCTTCATTCTCAATCCCCTAAAATCCTGGGAAGGGGGAGAGAATGCTTGAGGGTAGCTTGAGAGGCCCTGCAGTGGTGGCAGTGCCCCGCGTGCTCCTGGCAGCTTTGCCTCCTGCCCCCCATTCTTCCCTGTGGCGGTCCCAGGCAATGCTGGGGGGGCCCAGGTCCCCCGTTGCTGGTTCCCATGGCCACCTCTGCCCTTACCTCTGCGCCCGCCGGGAGTCCGATGTGGTGCCCTTAGAGAAGGGACAGGCACACCACTGTGGTCCAGATTCACTTTCTTTTCCATCTTCTCGTTCTGCAGGGGTGTCCCCTCAACAGATACCAACCCCATCCATTTCAAGGCTATGAGCACAGCAAGCCCAGACTCCAATGGCCAGGCCCAAGATCTTATCCAAATAGTTTCCAGGTCCAGCAAATAGAGTTTCTCAAGGGGCTGCTCCCTGCAGCACCCCTAACTGGAAGACAGGCGCCGTCACTGTCACCATTTGTCCCTGGACTTGGGCCGAGGTTTCCAGGACCACCTTCCAGAAGCAGGGAACTGGGGACCTCAGGTATCCTCAGGGGCGTGCCTCCCAGAAGTCAGGTGCTCCAGAGGGAGTCCCCGTGTCTTTCCCCACGCAGCAGGACTGTACCGTGGAGAGGTGTCGACTGGCTCTCCTCACATTTCCAGGAACTAGGCATCAGCCAGGGCAAGGAGGAGAGAGTCTTAGAGCTCTTGCGGGGGCTCGGAGAAGGGAAGGCTGCCACAGCCCATGACCTGGCTGCAAAGTTCAGAGTCCCGAAGAGGGAAATCAATCGAGTTTTATATTCTCTGGCAAAGAAGGGTCAGCTGCATCGGGAGGCAGGAACACCCCCTCTGTGGAGAATCGCCACGCAGGCTGGGAACCGGCACAGCCAAGTAGCCAGTGTAGACGCTCGTCGACAGGAAGCTCCAGACTCAGAGCCCAGCTTGGAGACTGAAGACAGAAGCTTCAAGTCTGCCTCAGAAGCTCCTCCTGAGCCTTTTGACATGGCTGAGCTCAAGGAGAAAGTTTGCGACTACCTGTTTAACGTGTGCAGCTCCTCTGCCCTGAACTTGGCTAAAAATATTGGCCTCACCAGGGCCCGAGACGTAAATGCCGTGCTGATTGACCTGGAAAGGCAGGGTGATGTCTACAGGCAAGGGACAACGCCCCCCATATGGTATCTGACTGATAAGAAGCGAGAGCGGATACAAATGAAGAGAAATGCAGACCTCGGCCCCGAGACCATCCCAGCTGCTGTGCCTGAGACCAAAGGAGATGCTGTGGCCTCCCATCACGTAGCTGCGCCAGCCGCCTCGGACGGTGTGGCAGCCGTAGAAGTGCAGAATGGGCAGGAACCTGTGATAAAGCTGGAGAACAGGCAGGAGGCTGTGCCAGAGCCAGTAAAACCAAAGCCGCCTGCCCATGACAATGGCCCCTCAAAAACAGGGTATGTTGACTTTGAAAATGGCCAGTGGGCCACAGACGACATCCCAGATGACTTGAATAGTATCCACGCGGCACCAGGTGAGTTTCGAGCCATCATGGAGATGCCCTCCTTCTACAGCCACGGCTGGCCACGGTGCTCACCCTACAAGAAACTGACAGAGTGCCAGCTGAAGAACCCCATCAGCGGGCTGCTAGAGTATGCTCAGTTCGCTAGTCAGACCTGTGAGTTCAACCTGCTAGAGCAGAGCGGACCGCCCCATGAGCCTCGGTAAGAGACCGCCCAGGAGCCGTCCGGGGTCGGGGTCAGGTGCTCCTGCCCCTGACGCCAGAGCAGCCTCTCGACTCGGGGTGGCCCCCACCTCTTCGCTTTGCCTCTCTGCCTTTTGGCTAAACTGCCCCCCTTGGCCCTCCCTCCAGATCTGGAGCAGGAAACGTAGGCCTTGCACCAGCTGGAATGCTGGCTGAGCAGTAAGGAGGCTGACCCTTGGGCTGGGAGGCAGCTTATTGGACTAGCTTCCATGCCTCCAGGTGTCAGCCTGGAGGGAATGAAGCCTGGACCCCCTCCCCCCCTCTTCCATGGACCTTTCTCTAATTGGAGTTACCCAGAGGGCACAGGAGCTGGTGGGTCAGGGCAGGGCCCAGCCACCCACTGCTCAGCTCCTGCCAGGAAAGGGTAGCATCACGAGTTGACGGGCCTATTAAAGGTGGCAATTCGAGTGCACCATGCTTTTCTCCTTTGAGCAGCCGGCTCACGCCTATACCCCTGCAGGCCTGCAAACAGATAGGGCTGCCAAAGGGCCTAGGGCAGGGCTGGCAGCACAGGATAGAGGCTGTACACCACCACCAGAGAGCAGGCCGGGGGGGTGGGGTGCGGTTCCATGAACCTTTACGTTAGCCACGGGCTGGTTTCCAAGGGCATGGCTTCCCGGCTGTGACCCCCGTTCCTTATGTCAACCGTCTTCATGACAGGGATGGCATTGCAGGAGACCTGTTCCAAGAAGGGTGTGTCTGTGTGGAGACCAGGCCAGGACTGACTCTTCTGGATAGAGGTTGGGTGGCACTTGTGCTTTTTTTCCCCTCCACACCTTCCCCACAACTGAGGGAGAGTAGTAGGTATTGTAGGTAACCTTTCTTTGGACTCCAGCTGTAAGAAACATTGGTGCCATATTCAGATATTTTAGAAGACCCAGGAAATGAGAAATGTGACCTACTTTTTAAATGAGATCCCAAATTGAACAGAGAGCCAAACAAATTTGAAACCTTGAGCACAGGAAGTCCAAGCTAAGTCCAGAGGCCTAAACCGGAGGCTTCTTGGTTTCCTGCCTAACAAGGGGAGACGCCATTCAGCTCAGGCTGCAGACATGGAGCTGTAGCGGGACTCAACTAGACAGTGAGAGTGCCGGGGCTGGGAGCAGGCACCAAGGATGGGCAGGTGCCTGATGTCTGGGGCGTCTGGGGCATGAGGCTCAGGAACCTTCACTCCCTCTAGGAGCTGCCCTAGAGGTGGCCAGTCGACCACACCTGCTTTAGAACCAAGACCGTAGTGGTGATTTTAGCTCATCATCTTCTGTACAGTTTCTGTCTTAACTCATTGCTAAGAGGTAGCAGGTCTCCCCTGCATTGTGTCTGCTCTCTAAAGCTCTGGGGAGAGAGTCCCTGGCTGCTTTGTTTCTGGAAGGCAGGGACTGAGCCCCTCTGTATCAGGGGAGGCTCCAGGGTGCAGGGCCCTATGGAGAGGGTGGCAGGGATGGCTGGGCCTGTGCTCACACATCTACTCACTTTCTGTCAAGATTTAAATTCCAAGTCATCATTGGTGGCCGAGAGTTCCCCCCAGCTGAAGCTGGCAGCAAGAAGGTAGCCAAGCAGGATGCAGCCCTCAAAGCCATGACAATCCTGCTTGAGGAAGCGAGAGCCAAGGACAGTGGAAGACCAGAAGAACCCTACGACTGCTCCATGGAGAAGGGATCTGAGAAGGTAGGCATCCTGCCCTCTGGGAGGCTGCTGTGTGCTGCCCACATCCCCAATGTAGTGGCATGTCAACTGACTGCCACAGGTGGTCTGAACGCAAGCAGCTGGCCCCCTCCCGCCTCAGCCCCATTTCAGCTGCACTCCCCCCTCACACCCAGCATTCCTGTTTGCCCACCTCCCAGCCCAACTGGAATTACAGGTTCCAGGCTTAGAAACAAACTTAACGATGACCCAATCCAAGTTCCATTGTTAGCAGATAAGACATGAGACCCAAAACGTTCCAGTAGCTCACCCTTTCCTGCCCAGAAACCCCCTCAACACCCTTCCCTTGGAAAGCTAGCCCTTGCGGGTAGCTCAGCCCTCACCATTCTCTACCAGGATGGCCTGGCCTGTGGTTTCTCAGCTCTTTCTCCTGTGTCTCGTTCTCTCCAGACTGCAGAGGCCCAGCCCAGCACCCCTTCAGCGACATCCTTCTTTTCTGGGAAGAACCCCGTCACTACCTTGCTTGAGTGTGTGCACAAGCTGGGGAGTTCCTGTGAATTCCGCCTCCTGTCCAGAGAAGGCCCTGCCCATGACCCCAAGTACATCTCTTGTGTCATGTATCTCCACTGAGGTTTTCTCAGATGAGAGATACATTCTTCTGCTTGCCTCCTGAGAGATGGCAGATTAACCCACTGAGCAGCCACACCTGTTTGCAGTATGGAAAGTGGGGAGCCGCAAGGCATGCTTGCTGCTGTGGAGCAGACAGTCTGGGATTAGGAACTCAGAAGACGAAGCAGGGACCAAGCACTAGGGAGACTCTCAGCTTGGCAGTTATGGTGGCGAGTCTGAAAGGCAGCCTCGGCTCCGCACACCGATGTGTTCACGAGGAGGGCTCCCCGGAGGAGGCACAGCCAGCTTGATGCTCACATGTTACATTGGGGTCAGCCAGGCTGAGAGGCCGGGGGCAGAGGAGGGTGGAGGGTGCTGACTCGTCGAGGCAGAGGAGCTGTGTGGCCAAGGCCCAGGGGCAATGGGTGCGAAGCCGTGCCAGGTGGTAGAGGATGGCCCAGCGGGGGTGAGGTGGGTCTTTCCTGTCAGCACCTCTTTAACCCTGGCCCTTCTGCTCTCTTGCCAGGTTCCAGTACTGTGTCGCCATGGGAGCCCATACTTTCCCCACTGTGAGTGCCCCCAGCAAGAAGGTGGCCAAGCAGATGGCCGCAGAGGAAGCCATGAAGGCTCTGCATGGAGAGGCAACCAGCTCGGCCACTTCTGAAACCCAGGTGGGCCGTTGGAGCGACCGCGCAGCTCAGGCCCACCCGCGCATCCCTTTTCATGTCCGAGAGTGCTCATGGCTCCTCTCTGTGTGACCAATTCTCCTTCAGCCCGGGGGCACGAACACAGAGTCGTTTGATAACCTGGAGTCCGGGATGCCCAACAAGGTCAGGAGGATTGGTGAGCTGGTCAGATACCTGAACACCAACCCCGTGGGTGGCCTGTTAGAGTACGCCCGCTCCCACGGCTTTGCAGCTGAGTTCAAGTTGGTCGACCAGTCCGGCCCTCCACATGAGCCCAAGTGAGTGTCCAGGCCCCAACACGGCCACATGCACCCTGGGGAGGGGGTGAGGAAGGGCAGTGGGACCACGGTGCCGGGAGGGTGGGCCCCAGAGGACCCGCAGTGGCCGTCCAGAGAGTAGTCACTCTTGCAGCAAGTATGCTCCTTTTTAATGTTTCTAGCTAATTTTAGTTTTTAAAGGAATATGTATATGCATAGGAAATCATTGAGGCTGGTTGAAATCGTCTGCAGAGAAAATACCCTTTCTATCTCAGTGCTGGTTCCTCCCTAGACTCATCCTGGTACCAGTTTCTTGAGTACTTCTAGAAGTTTCCATGCATATATTGGTACATTTTCTTTTCATTTTGCTTTTTAAACAAAAAATAAGCATCAGTGCTCTCTCCATCCTATACCCGGCCCCCTTACTTACCACTGAGACTTAAGGTCATCACATATCTCAGATACACACACCTATCAGACTTCTTTTATAGCTACATATTTCTGTATTTTTCCTGAAATTTTTTTTTTTAAACCTACACTCTACACCCAAAGTGGGCTCATTGTGAGCCCAAGATCAAGAGTCACACGCCCCGTGGACTGATCTGGCCAGGCACCGCCTACAGCCACATGTTTTGTTGAATAGATACTTTTACAGCTTTAAAGTTGTTTTATCAAGCAAGAGGTCTTTCCTAAAACAGACGCCCACGTATCCACCACCTAGTTTAAGAAAGAGAACATTGCTATTGGTGTCGAAGGCTTTTCATTACGGATTTAAGCAGCATCCAGCACCATGTGGGTTGGACAATGTCTTGCTCCTAGAAGCACTCTCCGTGTCTGAGTCTGCTCGCATGTGCAGGCATGTCCAAGGCAGACATTTTCAGGAGAGGGATTTCTGGGCAATAGGGCATGTACAGTTTTTTTAAGGGTTTTGTTTGCTCTCCCCTCCTAGGCGTCCCAACACAACAAAATGTGATAACTTCACATGTCTGTGCATCCTTCCAGAGCATCTTCATACAAACGCCAGCCACGCTGGCACATTTCCCCTTTTGTTACAGGGAAGCACATATGTGCATTCATACCTGCCTTGCTTTTTTGTATCTAACAGAATAATCTCAGGATGTTTTCCATAGCACCTTCTGTTCCTTGCATGAAATTGCTCCTGTAGCGTCCCAGGGCACAGGCAAATGCTGCCACTAGCCCCAGTGACCAATATGTGGATCCTTTCCATGCTTTACTATTACAGACAGTGCTGCTGTGAATAACATCTTCAGATGCAGCTAAACTTTGATAAACATTGCCGAATTTTCCTCTAATGAGATTATACCAGTTTATGCTTCCATCGGCAGTAAAGAATGGCCCGTCCCCTTGGCCATGATCACTATGGAACCACAGGTCTCCCCCGCAGTCAACAAAGAGAGCATTCCTTTGAAATTGCTGTCCAACCAGCGCTGAACGCTATTTTCACTTCTTGCCTTTTTCCGTAAAAGCAAAAACCGTCTTCAGATTTCTTTTGGTTGTGGTGGAAACAAGTACTTCTATAGGTCTTTAGTAAAAGGGGAGTGGCATAACACAGACTTTTGGAGACGGGATTTCTGATTCAAAATTTTTATTTTGCCGTTGTAAAATGTGAGAGGTGGTGTCTCAGTGCCATGCAAAGATTAGTCTGTATGGGTTGGACAATGGTAAAAAAAAAAGTGCGTCTGAAGTCAAAAGCCAGCAGCTTATTTCATGGTGAACCAGAGCTGTTCCCAGTAGCCAGGGGACACGTGGATACCCGTGTCCTTGTTACTTCTCAGTGCGTTGGCACCACCATCTGATGCCATCTGTTAAGACAGAGGACGTGGGGATGGGAAGCTTCCGTCATTTGCAAATGCTGTGATCGAGTACCTGAACTGTATGTGAGAAGCGGGAAGAAATATCAGAGCCAGAGGGGAAGTCAGGAAAGCAGGGAATTGTGAAATAACTAAAAACTTCGGAACTTCTCCACAGGAAGTAGTAGTCAGCAATTCAAAGATAAAGTAGAAGAAAGCCTATTTGCAATAGCAACTAAGCAGATATAAGACCTTGGCACATTCTGAGCAGGAAACATGCAGGCTCTGATGCTCTGTGATCAGATAGGAGAGCACAGCTGTCCCCAGGTTAGTCTTTGCCTTTCACATGATCCCAGTAAAGTCAGTGGCAGAATTGATTTCTTTATTTTAGACCTGGAAGACCTGATTCCCAGATTCATATGAAAAGTCCATGTGGGAGAGTAGCCAGAAAGTTCTGATGGAGGGATGAGCTGCACGGTCTGTGGCGCATTGGCCGGTGGGCGGAAGCAGGGAGAGCTCAGCCTCATGGAGCCCCTCACAGCAGACACGGATGCAGACAGGGCTGTGGGTGGGGGCTGGGGAAGCTGCCTGCCGCATCTCAACAAAAGATGTCGCGTGGTGTGGTGTCTCCAGCTGCACGGGAGCGCCCGGCCAGCTCGGTTGGTGGAGCGCGTGCCTCTTGATCTTGGTGTTATGGGTTCGAGCCCTATGTTGGGTGTAGAAATTGCTTAATAATAAAATCTTAAAAATATATACATAGAATCATAAAGTCTCTAGGTAAAAGCAGGGCTTTTAGTTTTAGAGTTTTGGAGCAGCAAAGCCTTTCCACTCAAGATATAAAGTCAGAAGGAAAAAGATGGAGGTGTGGCTGTCAGGAGACTTGGTGTGTCTACAAAGAACCGCCTGAGGATGAAACATTAGGGGCTCATTTCTTTCAGAAGGAGTTCTTTTCCAATTCAGTGGGAGAACCAAGTGTGCGAACTGTATGCTCCCAGGAAAGCTTGGAGATGTATTAACAGGGATGGTGCTCAGCCTCACCTGTAAGGGAGGCAACCGTCTGCAAGCTCACAGTGTCTATGATGTCTCTCGTCCTGGTGCTTCGGCCGAGAGTGGTGAGGGTGCTGTCTGTAAGGGCATCTCTGGCCTCTGCCATCTGCAGGCCTGCTGGACCGGGCACCCACCTGGCATGGAGCAGCACGTGGCCCCGAGCCAGAGCCGTGTGAGTGTACGCATGCGTGTGCCGCCGTCTGGGCCACGGTGCTTAGAAGCAGCAGGCTGGGTGTGCACAGGGCGGTGAGCAGAGTCCTCTCTGCAGGGGTGGAAAGCAGCCACAGCATTTGCTTCAGGAAATGAGGGACATTCTCCTGACATGTTCTTCACTGTTTGAATTTTTACCTGTGTGGTAACAAACTGCTTGATTTTGAAAGGTCGTTGAAGGAGAAAAGCTCACAAAGTGGTCTTATTTTAAATTTGTCTTCATAGTAAAGGGATGTTACTCATTTCTTCATGTGTGTACGTTTTCTGTTTCTGTTGACATGAACTTCCATTCATGTCCTTGTGGCTTTTACTGACCTTGCATGTAAGAGCATCACCATGATGAGAAGGGCATCTCGCACATGGACCCAAGGCACCAGGGAAGGCCCTTGTGCCCCTGCTGTGGGTGTGCAGGCTCCGCGAGGCCTGCTCCCCGCCTGCCCTTGGCACTCAGTGGCCCTCCCAGGTCATCATCCTCACTCTGCATACATGCGTGCTGTCCATCTCCTCTTTGCCTTCCGTAAAACCCTGCCAAGGACTTCCTGTGAGCCAGGTGGAGGGCATGGGGACTGCCCCTGAACATGGCAGATGTCCCCCGGCCCTGCACCCCGCACCCTGCAGCAGTGCCCAGGCACCTCAGGGCAGGGGCCGGGCACTGCCCCTGTGGCCACCGTCACTGGCCCACTGGCAGAACACACACACTCACCCTCTGTCTTCCCTTCTCTCTATCCTTCTTGGCAACCTGGACATCAGGACTTTGGCACATCCCTGCCAGAAAGCACGAGGTGTATAGTGTGGCCCCGGACTCCCTTCCAGCTTCCTGGCGCTTCCCCTGGACCTGTCTGGTCTGACATGCCCCAAATAGAGCTCTTGGGCTCTTTACCCTCTTTACCCTCTTTTCCCCTGGTCCTTCCCATTTCCATAGGTGCCCTCACTATCCACCCAGTTGCTCAGGCCAAAAACCTAGGTGTGAATCATCGTCTCTACCCCCTTCACACCCTGCAAGCAAACCAGCCTTGGGTTCTGTGTGTTGGATGCATGGTTCTCCAGACCCTCCCCTCTGTTCACTCAGAGAATGTTTATGGACTATGTTCCCTTTGGACAGGAGCCAGATTTGAATCAGTAAGGCCTCCTATGTTGCATGTTGAAAAGACCTCAAGTCAAGAATCCGCTTGGTGTGGCCTGACCTAGGAAGGACCTGGGGATGGCGAAGAGAAAGCCAGAAGTCGTGGGAAGGGGCTGGTTAACCCCAAAGCCTGTGGCGGGAGGCTGGGTGTCTATACTGGCCGCAGAAAGCCTTCCTGGGAACTGTCTTTTTTTTTTTTTTTTTTTAATGGGGACTGTCTCTTGCTCCCCATCCCCACTGGCCCCCTTCGGCGTTTTCGCTATTTTCATTACTAAATTCTCTTTCCCACTGTAAGAAAACCATGGTCGACCCTTTGCTCTCTTCGGATTCCCACCAAAACCCCCCTTCCTTACTCTAAACAATGACTCCCATCACACTTGAGAAATAGCATCGATGATATGACAGATACCTTATCTTTCCATGGTCAAACCCTCCTGCCTGCATCTGCACAGGTGTGAGGGACCCAGCCCCCTCCCCATGCCTTGTGCCCTCTTCCATGCACCACCTCCCTCCCTCACCCCTGCATGCCACAGCCATTCCCAATTATGATGGCCCCTGCGCCCCTCACCACCACACCTCTCCTCACCTTCTGTGTCTTTGCTTCTTGAGCTCACTGTGCCCCTCAGTCCAGGAAAAGGTTAACCTTGGGTTCCCTGCGGCTGCTGTAGAGCCCAGTGCAGCGTGAAGGGTTCCAGCTCCATGACCACAACCTGTACCATGTATAGTTCGGTACACATACAGGCACACCTCATTTTACTGCGCTTTGCTTATCACAGCTTCACAGGCGCTGGGATCTTTTATGGATGGAAGGTTTGTGGCAAGTCTGCATCGAGCAGCCCAACAGCATTTGCTCACTCTGTGTCTCTGTCACATTGTGGTGATTCTCCCAATAATTTCCATTATTACAGTGAGTAATCTGATCAGTGATTACAACCTGCTAAAAGTGCAATTGATGGTTAGCCTTTTTTTTTCTTAGCAATAAAGTTCTTTTGAATTAAGGAATATATATTGTTTTTTTAGAACTAAAGTTATTGCACACCTGAGAGACTCAGTGTAGTGTAAACATGACTTTTATGGGTACCCAGAAGCCAAAACATTTATTTGACTTGCTTTATTGTGATACTGGCTTTATTGCCATGGTCTGGAGCTGAGCCCACGAGGTCTCTGTGGGGAGCCTGCCTCTGTATGTGTGTGTGTGTGTGTGTATCTTTGTGTATAGAATTCATGTTCGTTTCAAACACATGGAACAGGCATGAGGTTCCCTCGAGTCTCAGGCAAAGGTCCTGCCCAGTTTGGCCCCCCACTGCTTTCTGGCCTTTCTCATGCCACGTCCCTCTCCTTCATGGAGCCTCCTGCAGCCACCAGCCCCCACACACCTGCTGGCAGAGGAAGGTGCACAGGCACGCAGCCACATAGGATGAGCAGGGCATCGTGGGAAGCTTGGTGTGAACATGAAGGTTGATTCCTTTTACAGCCTGAGCCAGTGAATGTCGAAAATGAAGCCTCACATGCAGGTGGATTATCCAAAGTGGAATTCCCCCCCCAGCAGTTCAGGATGTGGTTGTACACTACGATTCTGAGACCTTGGCTGGTGGAAAGCTGAGGTCCTTCTGTATAGCAGATCATGACCTTTCGACCACTCCACGTTGCATCCTGTCGGGAAGTGAATAGGGAAAAGAATCTGGCACCTTCAGAGGTAGGGCAGTAGACAGCAGTGATTCAAGTAGGGAGAGAGCATCCCACTCCTTTCTGCTTAGGGTACAAAGAAAAGTCTGCACTTGGCATTATCTCTAAACCCCTCCTGGTACTTGATAACCTCCTTTACAGTGGAGGCTTAGAGCCTCTGCGGGCTGGTGCCTTGTCCACGTTGAAGGGCACAATGATGTCACCCAGTTCTGGAGCCACCCTTGATTTGTCGCAGGTGACTTAATGGCGCTCAAAGTTTCCTTTTGAAATGTTTGACGTTTGAGCAAAGTCATTTTAGAGAGAAATACTCAGTAGGTAAGAGAGCAGGTGGTATCTGATCTATCAGAAGTGTCAGGCACCGGTGCCCTGAGTCTGGGAAACGCTGCCTTAGAAACAGCTGTCGGGTCGGGTGCTTGTCTTTATCCCCTGCTTCTCATCCCAAAGGTTCGTTTACCAGGCAAAAGTTGGGGGTCGCTGGTTCCCAGCCGTCTGCGCACACAGCAAGAAGCAAGGCAAGCAGGAAGCAGCAGATGCGGCCCTCCGCGTCTTGATTGGGGAGAACGAGAAGGCAGAGCGCATGGGTTTCACAGAGGTAACCCCAGTGACAGGGGCCAGTCTCAGAAGAACTATGCTCCTCCTCTCCAGGTCCCCAGAAGCACAGCCAAAGACAGTTAAGACGTCTACTTTTGGTGCTATCTTTTTTTGGGGGTCCTGCTAACTCCTCTCTGGGTAGAGTTGGCTCTTAACTTGCTGTCCTGTGACATAGTCCTGGGCTTTCATTTGTACCTCGGTGGTACGCAGAGCTGGGACAAGCACAGCGAGAGGGAAAGGCGGCTCGGCCGAGAGCTCTCGGCCTGCCAGGCCCCAGCGCAGCGGCCCTGACACAGCCTTGTGCCCACAGCTCCCCCTCACCGGCAGCACCTTCCACGACCAGATAGCCATGCTGAGCCACCGCTGCTTCAACGCCCTCACTAATAGCTTCCAGCCTTCCCTGCTGGGCCGCAAGATCCTGGCCGCCGTCATCATGAAGAAGGCCTCTGATGACCTGGGGGTGGTGGTCAGCCTGGGGACAGGTCAGTGAGGGCCTCCTGGAGGGCCATGAGGGTGCATCTGGGGTGCAGGAGGCCCACTCCGACCTCAGCCCCTAACCAATAGCCTCTGTCCCCAGGGCGCCTGGGCACAGGTCTGTGATTCCTGCAGGTGGGACAGAGCCCCTGGGATCCCGGGCGCTCTCTGTGCTCAGCAGGGCATCTGCTTCTCCCTCCCCTATGCACACTCCCGTTCTCTCCCAAAGAAAAAGACAAAGAGCCTGCCTGTTCAGCCTCTCTTCCCTTGGAAATACGACATTTGCTTTGCATGCCTTCCAGGGAACCGCTGTGTGAAGGGGGACTCTCTCAGCCTGAAGGGGGAGACTGTCAACGACTGCCATGCAGAGATCATCTCCCGGAGGGGCTTCATCAGGTGGGCAAGTGGGGCCCCACCAGAGCCTTGGACTGCCCCTGCCATGGAACCCGCCGTCTACAGCCTCCCTCCTCCCTCCACCTCTGCTTCAGCCCCTTTCTCAAAAACCGCACAGTAACCTCCTGGTCCTCAGGGCTGTAGGGGTAAAGAGGCCATGCACTGGCCCATCTGCCTGGCCCTGTAGGTTACCTGGGGAGGCATCAGCCCCGTGGGCCTGGAACCCCCTAGAGCCCCCAGGTTGGGCACTGGGATCCCTACGGCTGCCAGAGCAAGGCACTCTTGGCAGACATGAACTGGTTGAGAGGCTGGCTTCACTGGACAAGGGGTCCCCAACACCTATCCCCCGTGAGAACCCGCGGACAGCCAGCACCTCTCGGGCTTCCTTTTTGGGGCCACATCCCTGAACTGGGGCTGTTGTCCTAGCCAGAGCTCCCCTCGTAGGTTTCTCTACAGTGAGCTGATGAAGTACAACCCCCAGACCGCAAAGGAGAGCATCTTTGAGCCTGCCAAGGGAGGAGAAAAGCTCCAAATAAAAAAGAGCGTCTCGTTCCATCTGTACATCAGGTCTGTATAGTCTGTGGCCGCCATGTGGGCCCTGCCAGGCTCCAGGGTTGGGTCTCCAAACACGCTCCTGGCCCAGAGCCATTCACTGAGCCACTCTCAGCTCTGTGATCGAGGTAATACCACTAGGTACAGCCCGCGGGAGGCTTCTGGAAAGGCCCCTCGTGTCCACCACACCTGGCTGTTCTCAAGCCCCTGAAAACTGGAGGGACCCACTCCACAGGCGAACTTTGACAGATGCCCCTATTCTATAGCACGGCCCCATGCGGGGATGGCGCCCTCTTTGACAAGTCCTGCAGTGACCGTGCTGTGGAGAGCACAGATTCCCGCCATTACCCTGTCTTTGAGAACCCCAAACAAGGCAAGCTTCGTACCAAGGTGGAGAACGGTGAGTGACACTCGCCCGCCCTATTTCCCTCAGGAAGGCTCCACGGAGCCCCAGGCCCATCACAGGCATGTGGCATAGCTGCCAGGCTTTTGCTGTTGGTTGCTAGAGCTTGAAGATCTGTTTGCTGGGAGGGGGCTGACCCGGGGTCAGGGGTGGTGTGTAGGAGGGCCAGGATTCCACGCTGAATCTGCTAGTCAAGGAGATCTCCGAGTCAGGGCATGGAGACACCCCCCTGGCGCTCAGGGCAGGAACCTGGCTGGAGACAGGTCGCTTTCCTATAGTTGATCTTTGTGGCGGGGTGGGGGGGACCACTTGGGGGGTGGGCAGCAGGGATACAGGACCAAGCTGCAAGGAGTCATGGAGGTGGGCACCAAGTGTATCGTTCCCTCTGATGTACTGGCTCCTCCTCCCCCGGGCCAGGGAAGGGGGCTCCTCATGCCTGCCCCCCATCCTCAGCTTAGTTACCTCCTTGTCCAAAACCCACAGAGCTGCCCAGGACCCAGCAGCTTACTCTGGGGCGCGTCCCCAGGACCAGGGCGCGTCCCCTAATAAGCATTAGGGCATGCTTATTCATAACAGTGAGAGTGGGAACCATCCCAGTGTCTATCCACGGGTGAACAAACAAAACAGGGTTCATGCACACGGTGCAGCCCTGAGAAAGCAGCCAGTCACTGAAGGTCATACATTCTGTGGCTATGTTTATGTGAAACATCTGGGACATAGGGACACTTTCTGCAGAGACAGAAAGTAGATTTGTGGTTGCCTGGGTCCTGGGCTGGAAGGGATTGGTGGAGACGAGGATGCTTCTTTAGAGGGTGGTGAACAGTTCTAAACTGGACCATGGGGAGGGCCACATGCCCCGTGAATATACTACACACCATTTAACTGTGCACTTTACATTGGTAAGTTGTATCTCAATAAAGTTATTTAAAATAAATCAGTGCCCTATAGCAGTTTCCCACCACACTTCACACACAAGCCACACCCACACACACACGCACATGGCTCAGGCCCACTGGCTGTTTGTCAGCAGCCTGGACAACTGAACCTCTCGGTGCCTCAGGCCCTTGGCTTGTGCTGTTCTCCGTGTCTGAAACCCTCTTACTCAGCCATTGCTTCTCCTTTGTCTTTGCTACCCTGGCAGTTCCACCCAGAAGCCCCCTGCCATCTGCACCATCACTCCCTCCCAGTCTTCTGGCACTGTTCAGAGTTCTCATGTCTGTATGGTTTTGCTGGCTTACCATTTCTCTGCCCCTTTCTGCTGCCTCACCCCCACATACATCCCAGGAGCATGGGGATCTTCCAGTTTTGCTAGCTGTGGGCCACAGCACTGAGTCCAATGTCTGGTGCATAGTAGATGCTGAGGAATCTGTGAACAGTGGCTCAGTGAGCAGCCTTGGTCCCAGCATGAGGGCCATCAACCCCGCACTGGGGAGTGGTCTGGCCCCAGCACCCCCAGCGTCCCTGTGGCTCTAACCAAGTCACTCCATAGGGGAAGGCACGATTCCCGTGGAGTCCAGTGACATTGTGCCCACGTGGGACGGCATCCGGCTTGGGGAGAGGCTCCGCACCATGTCATGCAGTGACAAGATCCTTCGCTGGAACGTGCTGGGCCTTCAGGGGGCGCTGCTAACCCACTTCCTGCAGCCCGTGTATCTCAAGTCAGTCACTCTGGGTAAGGGCCCATCGCTGCCTGCCTGCCCAGTGACAGAGACTGCCGCAGGGTCTGGGCTTCCTTGCCACTGCCAACCCCCACCCCCTGCCCCCAGCCTGGAGCCCGATGTGTTGTGCCTGTGGCTTGAGTGGACACATGCCCTGTGCAGCCCCACCCACGAGGCCTGCCAATGAGGGTGCCACCTCTGTCTCAACAGCACTCCCCAGCCCCCTCTTTGCCCCCCATAAACCTCTCAGCAACACCCGGCGCAAACACAGGGGCACACACCTCCATTTCCTCACAGGCTACCTGTTCAGCCAAGGACATCTGACTCGTGCCATCTGCTGCCGTGTGACGAGGGACGGTAGTGCCTTTGAGGACGGGTTGCGGCCCCCCTTCATTGTCAACCACCCCAAGGTGCTCCCTCCCTTTTCCCTTGACCTTCACTGTGGGCAGGGGAGGAATGTCGTGGGTTTCCCGGGAGCTGGTCCTCTGCACTCTCGGACACCAGGGGCTTGCTTCTTAGGTTGCAGCATATTTGCATACAGTTAGGGTTCACCAAACAGCATCCCAGACCAGGAGAAAGACCCCCAGCTGCCCCCTCTGCCCCAGGGGCCCTGAATCCCTGCAGCAGGACTTCCCAGAAGGCCTCCATCTTCTCCCTCCCACCCCCGGACTCCTAGGTGGGCCGAGTGAGTGTGTACGACTCCAAGAGGCAGTCCGGGAAGACAAAGGAGACGAGCGTGAACTGGTGCCTGGCTGACGGCTACGACCTCGAGATCCTGGATGGGACCCGAGGCACCGTGGACGGGTGAGGCCCAATCCACCATGCCCCCCCCCCACATGCCTCCCACAAGCCCCCCCCCTTCTCTGGACCCCGGGGACTCACCAGCGCCTCCGTCCCCCAGGCCACGGAATGAACTGTCACGTGTCTCCAAGAAGAACATTTTCCTCCTGTTCAAGAAGCTGTGCTCGTTCCGGTACCGCAGGGATCTTCTCAGACTCTCGTATGGCGAGGCCAAGAAAGCCGCCCGAGACTATGAGCTCGCCAAGAACTACTTCAAGAAGAGCCTCAAGGACATGGGTTACGGGAACTGGATCAGCAAGCCCCAGGAGGAGAAGAACTTTTACCTCTGCCCCGTGTGAGGGGGGCCGGGGCCGGGGGGCCACACAGCTGGGCCATAGCTTCCTCATCTCTTCAGTCTCGGGGAAGGGAGGGGATCCTTGTCTTTTCCTTTTTTCTTTTTTTTTTTTTTTTAATTTTTTGGTGGGAGCAGATTGATGACCCTGAGAACCACCAGCCCCCTGCCCTTTCTGTGGCAAGGGAGGCCCGTCTTCTCCTGCTGCACAAGCACGAGGGCCTATGGCCCACCTCCCGCTCAGCCCCACTTCGGTGTCCACGTCCTCTGCCGTGTGTTTGCTGCACCAACTCTCACCCTCCAGGTCAGGCCCCCATCCGCCATCTGTGCTGAGTTCTGCAGGGCCAGAGGTTTCACTGGTGATTCTGCAGGCCCCTCCGTCTCCCCTCTGCCCTTTTGCAATTCCCTCATGATCACTAAGCTTCTCCTTTTCCTCCAAGATCATAAGAGGTGAACTTACAGAATTCGGTGAAATACACAAGGACATGGTTGTAAAACTGCGGTTCATTAATTCCCAGGGCGGGCACGTCCCGAGTCTGCAGGTGATGTCCAGTGACCTTAGGGTCTTGCACTTTAGCCAGCAGGGAGGGCTGGGCTGCCGAGAGGGCCAGCAAGGCCTAGGGGTGGCCCCTGCCGTAGCAAACGCCCCATGGGGTGACACCGTCCGCCCCAGGGAGCACAGACATGCCTCACGACACCGCCAGCTCAGCTGTCCTCCAGAAGCATTCCTATGGATTTGTCAGGCCAGCAGGGCACAGATCCCAGTGCACAGCAAGGGTTCTTGCAGGGCAAGTCCTTGGCTCAGATAATCAGGACTTAGAATCAGGGCAGATCAATCATGTTGGGTCAGATCACTGTACCACCCAGTACCCTCATGACTGCACCTGAGAAAGTTGACCAAGTCATGGGTAAATTAGGAGTTTTTAAAAATGTCATAAATGTTGATTCTTAACTGCTACAGATAATCTGTAATTGCACAGAATTTAAAGTCAGACCTAATTTTCCATTTATCAAGTGCTCCTGTTTGCCAGCTTGCTTCAGAAGGGCCAGCCATGGCCTGAGGTCTCCTGGCCTATCAGGGAATCTTTGTAGGATGGATGCTCAACAGCAGTTAAAACCCTGTGAGCCGGGACCCCCACCTCCCCCTCCCCGTCCATACCTCAGGCTTGTGGTGACTCCCAGGGTCAGAGCCTACAGTGTCTCTGGAGGCTGGCTCGATCCTGCATCAGCCACACCCCACCTCCAGGGGTGCCCCCTTCACTGCCTGACAGCACCCGGGCCTGTGCCCTCACATGATTTTCCCTCCGCCCCTACACCCCACAGACTACTGACAAGGCCACCCTGTCTGGCCCTCCTCTTCAGTGGTAGATACACCCACACTTTTGTTCTTGTGGCTACTATTTCCTCTGTGCTTTTGACCAAAAATTGACCAAAATTAAAAGAAAAAAGAAACATTCAAGTTTTTTTAAAGTATACTAAAGATCTCTGTGGAACAGCCAGGTGTCTCAAGGAACTGGTAGGGAAACGGTGCCTACTTATGGGGCGGAGGGGCCTGGCCCCATCCTGCGCACCTGCTGGGGGCACATGAGGCCTGTCTTGCCCAACGTGGCTCGTCCCCCAGGCTCTTCAGACTGGAGGGTCTGGCCTACTGACCCCACAGAACGTCCAGACCCTCTGCTCCATCTTGGGTGTTAGAATTTCCATCAGAGCCCCACTCAGCCCAAGGTCAGATGAGACGCATCTGGTTTCTGCCGTAGGAAGGGGGCACAGCATCCTGTGCTCATGTGTGTGCTGGAGACGAGCCCACGTGCGGCCTGTGTCCCCGCGCCCCTCGGGGCACAGCTCCTGTCCACAGTGCTCACCTTTTTGTCAAATCTTTGTTTTTAGTAACCAGGACGCCCTTCTTCCTTTTTTAAAATGATCTTTGTAGTTGATTTGTCTGAACTGTGGCTATTGTGCATTCTCTGAATAATCACTTGTGAAAATTGTCGCTGCTTGAAGCTATTTCCTTTACTCTCGTTGAGCGACTGTTGGTTTGGGTCCTGGTGTGACTCCAAGAGCAGATTGGAAAGAGCCCAAGCACAGACTTGGTGCTACCGGGGCTGCAGTCAGGTTTACGATTCCACTTTGATGTGTCCCCTGATAACCGTGACTAACAATATACATTCCTCATAAATAAAGAAAAATCTGAATTGTTAGAAAGTTTCCTGTCTTCGCTTCCCCGGGAAGGGAGAGTGGGGGCAAGGGGGCCAAGGTCCTGGGGTTTCTGGGGCTTTCCTCTCCGTCCTTTCCTGACTGCCCCGGCCCCACACCCAGCGCCCCCACAGAGCCTCCAGGTTAACACCTTGTGCTTGGAGATGTGGGATGCAGGATTCCAGCCTGGGTGGGAAAACCACCTGTGACACAACATCTCAAGTCATGTGCATCACCCCTACTCTGTTGGGGCGTGTTTTTCTCCAGCCCAACCCCAAACAGTACTCCCGGCAGCAGCCATCCCACCTGTAGGAAGATGCATGTTTGGAACAAGTCTCTGGCCGGGCTGCCGTCTTAGGAGACCTGCCATGGCCTTCAGCTTGGGGAAGGCACCGGATCATATTCCTGCAGGGCGTCAGAGGGAATGTGCCCCTTTCCACATGGTGACAGCCCAGAGGCTAGCACACTCATCCCTTACTTTTTAACATGCTGTCCTCCTAGAGGACACAGAGTCATGGTGAAGCCTCCTTCCCCATCCACTGCAGATGGGACAGTGGAGGCAGGAGGGCCGGTGATGTGTTTGGGGGCTTGTAAGGGGCCACAGCTGTGCATGGGTGTCATTCGTGATCTGCCGAGACCAGTGCTGAGTTGGCTGGATGGTTTCTGAGGACAGCAAAGGAGAATGCCTCCCGCACCAGGATGTACCAGGGACCTCTTGGTGACTCCCGATCCCCTACCCTCCTACCCCTCTACCCCCTGGGGGTTTGAAGACACAGATAATTTCCTTTCTTCACACCTAACTTGAGCACCAGACCTGTGTGTGTGGAGGGAAGGAGCCTATCCCTGCCACCAGCTCTGAGGGCCTGGGAGAGACAGGGCTGGAGCACAGGGCAGCCAGGGGTGGTCAGCTCACAGGTCTGCCCTCTGTTCCCATTGACCTGTGTTCCATCAGGGGCCACAGTTGAATGATGCCTCCAGGTCGAGACCCAGGGCAGACCAGGGTCCTAGGGACCATGCAGCCTGCAACCTTGACCTCCCCGCACAGATGAGCTGCAAGGAGACCCCATGGATCCTGCCTCCAGGCCCTTCTAGAGGAGCGTCCCCAGGAGCAGCCTCAGCTCTGCTGCCCCAGGTCCAGCCATTTCTTCCCCAGCGACTAGAGTCCTTGTAAAGCACAAATCCCAGAAATCAAAGTAACTGCTCACCTTCAGGTTCTCATACTTTCATGCCTCACAAGTCCAATTTCTCCAGCTCCCCTCACCCCCTGCTTTCCCACATCTGCCAACCCTGCCCCCAGATACAACAGAGACAAGACGTCTTTGGAAACAACTTTTCTTTGCGAGAATCTTGAGTTCCTAATGAATCTGGCCTGGCTAGACCAGTGCAAATATTCCAGAAGCACAGACAGGGGAGGCCAAGGCCAGGCAGGAAGCTCGGGGTCGGGGGGCACCTCAGCAACTCCTAGACCTGCAGTCCCTTAGGAGCCACAGGACATTCACCCTGGCCACTCGGGCCTGCTGGCCAAACACTGAAAAGTGCCACTGGCTCTCACTCCGGCCTGGGCACGTGATGGGCAACACCTGCTGGACCAAGGGACTGTGTGGCCATGCCTGAGAGCTGGAACTGAATCCTACATGCCCCTGGCTCTCCCTCAGCCTGCCGCGAGGCCCAGTGGTCCCTCCACCTCTGAGTGAGGCTTCCATCAACAGAGGCGCCTTCCCTGCAGGCCAAGGCCCGGGGCTGGGAGGAGACAGGTGTCGTGCCCCCCAATTCCACCCAGAGCCTTCCCTGCCTCAGCCTCCCTACACGGACAGGCCTCCTCCACACAGAAGGCCAGCTGTGAGGCTTCCATGCCTCGTTTGCTTTCAAGTCTTCAGTAACATAGTCTAGCTACTGCCATATGAGACACCTAGCCGCCAAGAAACCACTTTCCTCCTGCAGCACCAGCAACCCGAAGCAGAGTCTGCCCAGGCCCTCTCCTCGGACAAAGTGGTTTTCAGATGGCCTGTGACCCTGCTGTCCAGCCTGCTTCCCCAGCCCAGTGTCTGCAGTGCCCTCTCCACAGTGAGGGCACCCAGCCCTGGGCAGGGGTGGGGAGCCCCAGACAGCACCAAGGGAGGGACAAGGGACCACCCTCAATGGACCTTCCGGTGCTCCCAAGGCTCCAACTCCCATCCATGCCCTCCCCTCCCCACTGCCGGCATGTCCCCACAGAGAGCTGCACCCAGACATGGAGGGGATGGCACTGCCCCAAGGGCCCTGCCCACTCAGCCCCGTCACGGGCGGCCTGTCTTTCCTCAGCAGGCTCGGCCACCCTCACATCATCATTGAGAACGAGCAGGGTCGGAGCCCAGTGCTTGTGCAAAGTGAGGCAGCCATCTCCTGGCCTCAGTTTCCTTACGTGTCAGATGCTCGTGGAGAGCTGGGTAAGCTGGGGCCTGAAGCCCCTTGAGGATTTCTGGTGACCTGCTTGGACCACAGCCATGCATGGGCAGTCCTAAAGCAGGGAGCTGGCAGAGTTGTCCATCAGGCCTCCGTGGCAGAGGCCTCCCCAGGATGAGGCCAGGAGCCCAGGACAGCTAGATGGGAGGCCTCGGGCTGGCACCCCACCCCTGGGGGGAGGGTTCCTCTCCAGTTGCTCTCCCTAGGAATTTGCAGGTGGTACAGGCACAATACAGGCAACTTCCAATTCGCTGCTCTAGAAAAGCAGACAGAAAAGCACTGTCTGCACAGTGCCCAACACCCCTCAGAAGACACGGCATGAGCCGACCTGGGCAGCTGGGGAAAGGTGCTGAGCTGCTCAGCTGCTGGCTTACCATCCATCCGGGGCAGGACTAGGTCAGCCCAGGGGCCCCGAGCTCACCCAGGTTAGGAGGAGCCCAGGGCCAAGCTCAGCCCAGGGCTGGAATGGCGCTTTGCCAAAGGCACACTCCGGAGTGGCACAGCCATCAGACCCACCAAGCCCCCCTGCGATGTTTCTCCCGTGCTCGCCCCCCCCCCCAGGTCCCCACCCTGCTTCAGGGGACTCAGTTTGCACAAGGAAGAGAGAAACAGTTGGGTGAGCCCACTGCACACTTGTCACAGCTCCGCCCTGTGCCAAGTACAGACAGCTTCTTCACGAACCTCCCACCCTCTGTACAGCCAACTCACAAAGGGGGCGCTGCTGTCCCCATGTTACAGATGAGGTCGCTGAGGCCAAGCAAGGCAGAGATGTGCTCCCAGTGGCTGAGAGAGCAGGTGTGAGCCAGGACTCAAATCCACACCGAGACTATCCTACCTGTGGCCTATGCTGCGTGTCCCCCCAGCCTGTCAGTGCCGCCTGCACTGCTGCTGCGCCTACAGAACCTGTGTCCAGCCAGGATCCCGAAGAGAGCATGATCTGCATTGGCCAGCCCTTTGGCTGCACTGGGCACGCTGACCCCTCTGTGACTGGCCATCTGCTGGCCTGGCAATGAGGACCAGCGGGACCCCAAATCAGACCCAGTCACGGGTCAGGGGTGGGGGCAGAAGGCCCATAGGAGGTCTGTTTCCTAGGCTAAGAAGCCAGGTGGTCCCCAGCTAGTCGCCGGGAGCAGGGTCAAGACACAGCCTCCTAAGCCCACAGGACAGAAGCAGACGCCGTGCTTCCTGAGGAGCCAATGACAGCAAGGAGGATCTGCTTCACCCCGGCTGGTGGGGAGGGTGGGCAGCGCTGCAGGCAGAAAGGCTGGGGCTGCTTAGAGCTAACAGCATTACTTGACTGACCCCTGCCACCCGGGCAGTTCCTGCAGGGAGGGACAACCGTGAGTTCGCATGTTGTGCAGAGTTGCAAGGACCTGGGTGGGCTCTGCGCAGGTCACCGGAAGACATGGAACCAGGGGCTCCTTTGCTGCCCAGCCCAGTTTGAGCAAGAAAGGAAGTGGGGGGACATGCAGGGACAGGGTGCAGGACCTGGGGCTAGGCTCCAGAGCCCATGGAAGCAAGGGGCTGAGGGGCCTCGGAGGCCCCCTAGGGGTCTGACCACAGCCCAGAGGCCAAGTCCTTAGGAAGGGGCCGAGTCGAGTCCCACAGGGTCCTCCTCCTGCTCGTCCCTCAGATCTACTATGACGTCAGCCCACCACATACTGTCAGTTTGGCACCGCGTCAGAGGCCCTGGGGCTGTGTCCCCTTCATGCTTTCCTGGGGTGGGACGCCCCACATCCACACCCTCAGCCTCCATGCCTGACCAGCAGCACTAGTGTGGGGCTGGGGCAGGGCAGCAGCCGGTTGGGCCTGGGGGTGTGCTGGGAGGGGCTCAGGTGGCGGGAAGGCTGGATTGGGGGCAGCACAACCCCCCACCTGTAGCCTCCCTGTCCCTCCTCTCCCCAAACTACTGTCAACGGAGAGCGGGGTGGAGGAGCTGAGAGCTGGGGAGGGCCTCACTTGGCGCTGGGGGCCGAGTGGTCCGTGTGCAGGAAGGTGGCAGCGGAATAGTTCTGGAACAGAGGTTGCAGGAACATGCCGATAGTGCCAAACACACAGACGAAGACAAAGATCCAAAGGAACAGGCGGTCGATCACCATGGCGACATACTTCCAGTCCTCACTCACCTGCACAGATGAGACAAGGGAGGCCGGGTTATGAATCGCACAGTGCAGGACAGGAGTGTGGATAGGAAATCGCAGGTCTCACCACACACATACCCTCCCTGCTCTGCGACCCTCCATGACCCCAGAGCGCAGCTCCAAACTTATCTGCTGAAAAGCCTCTAGCAGCCCCACCACCTCCCGGGGTCATCCAAACTCCCAAATTTGGGTTCAAGACCCACCCACGACAAATCTGAGCCTCCACATGTGCTGTCCTCTCCTGCCTGAGACCCCAGACTTACCACAGCTCGGTGCATGCTCTCACACATTGCTGTGCCTTTCTTTCTACCATTCCGGCCTTCCCTTCCTCTGCCTGATAAACTCCTACACATCCTCTACAGCCCAAACTAAACGTTACCTCTTCTATGAAGTGATCTTTGCTGACACTCTCTGCACTCTCTCAGCAGTGTGGACATGTCTTGATCACAGTACGGCCTCCCCAGCCCACCCCAGCCAGCGTTGAGCTCCTAAATGACAGAGATCCTACCAGATGCATTCTGTAATCCCAGCACCTGCAACAGAGTGCTGGTACCTGGGTGTCCCTGCAGGCCTCCCTCCTTATGTGACTACCTGGGAGCCCCGTCCAATGGTGCCACCTCCACACACAGGCAACCCCAGTGTGAGGACTGGTCCCTGGAAAAAGGACATCTAGGTCGGACAGCTGTCACAGGGCCTGCTTCCAGGGCTGGCCTCCCCTCAGAGCTCCTTCACTCAGCCCGAGTCAGGGCCTTGGCACACATCCCCCTGGGGGCCTGAGAAGGAGGCCGTTGTGTCCGTTGACCTGGTCAACCACTGAGTAACAGGTTTGTCCATGCCATGCTGGTTACTGCTGTGGCTTACTGTCCACCAAGGGAAGGGGGCCCAAATAAAATAATCACATGCCAGTGGGTGCTTCTAAGGAAAGTCTGGGCCGAGACACTTGGAGGGGTGTAGCCTGGGATGGCCTCTTTGAGGAAGTGACATCTGAGGTCACATCTGAAAAGCAAGAAGGAGCCAGCTGTGGCAGGAACAAAGTGGAGAAAGAGACAAGCAGGCAAACCCAAACTGAGGGCCTGCATCCCTCAAAATGTTGATGCCATGAAAACCAAAGCTGAGAAACTGTTGCAGATCGAAGGAAAAGAAAGACAGAACAGCTAAATGCAACTTGAGAACCTGATCAGGATGGGAGAGCGCTCCAAAGGACATTGCTGAGAAAGCTAGAAAACTTTTTTAAGATCTATTTATTTGTGGGTTTTTTTAAAGATTTTATTTGTTTATTCATGAGAGACACACAGAGAGATGCAGAGACATAGGCAGAGGGAGAAACGGGCTCCTCACAGGGATCCTCAAACTGGGATCACTCACAGGGATCCCCTCACTCGATCCCCAAACTGTGATCACACTCTGACACAAAGGCAGACGCTCAACCGCTGAGCCACCCAGGCTTCTCTATTTGTGAGAGAGAGAGAGAAAATGCACAGATGGGGGGGTTGGGGAGGGGGCAGAGGAACAGAGAATCTCAAGTGGACGCCACACTGAGCGCAAAGTCAGACACAGGACCCCATCACAACCCTTGAGTTTATGACCTGAGCTGAAACCAAAAGTTGGACACTTAACCAAGTGAGCCACCCAGGAGCCCCAAGACCTGGAAATTTTTTTTTACGATGAAATAAATAAATAAATAAATAAATAAATAAATAAATAAATAAATAAATAAAATTAAAAATAAAAATATTTTTTTATTTATTCATGAGAGACAGAGAGGCAGAGACACACAGGCAGAGGGAGAAGCTCACAGGGAGCCCAATGTGGAACTGGATCCCGGGAATCCGGGATCATGCCTTGAATCAAAGGCAGACACTCAACTGCTGAGCCACCCAGGTATCCCCTGAAAACTTTTAATATGGATTCTGTATCAGTTAAAGATATTATATGGATGTTGATTTTCCTGAATTTGATCATTGATCCTAGTTATGCAAGACAACATCCCTACTGTCAGGACAGTGAAGTATTCAGGATAAATGGTCACAGTGTCTGCAACTTTCTCTCAAACAGGAGAGCAAATGTTAATAGCAATAATAATACTTTTCTTTCAAAAGATTTGGGAGGGGAGAGAAAGAGAATAAGGGGAGAGGCAAAGGGGGAGGGAAAGAATCTCAAGTAGACTCCTCACTGAGCACAGAGCCAGATGCGGGGCTCAATCCCAGAACTTTGAGATCATGACCTGAGCCAAAATCAAAAGTCGGATGCTTACCTGACTGAGCCACCCAGGCACCCCAGTAATAATATTTTTTAAAAGGAAAAGAAGAAGGGCATTCCAGGCAGAAAATCCTGAGCCAGGGAGGAGAAGACACAAGATTTGAGAAGGAGATATTGTCTATTTGGATGGAAGAGAATAAAGCTGATTCAGGAAGACCAAGCAAGAGATTCTGCATGGTCCAGCAAGAGCTGGTGGAGGCCTAGGGCCAGGGGAGTACCCTGGAGATGGACGAGGAAGGAAACAGCTGAGAAGTATTGTGGACATTGTGCTCACAGGACAGGCCTTCAGCTGATGTGCACGGAGGGGACGGTTAGAGAGAGGAGTCAAGAATCACTCCAGGCTTTCAGTCTGAACTGCTGGGTGGACGATGATGCCATTTACTAAAAGATAAGGAGACTGCAGGAGAAGCCGGATGGTGGCGGGATGTGGATGGAACACCACACCCAGCTAAGTCTGAGAGGCCTTGCGCCCAGCTCCGTGCTCCTGTCTCCGGGGCCTGGCCTGCCCTCCGCCCATCAGGAAAGCTCCCCTCTTGGAAGAAAAGAGCCGCCGGTGTGTGCACAGCGGGGGATGCTCTGGGAAGCCCCAGCCTCCACCTACCCCTCCTCCAAACCGAGGCCCAAGACGAAGGAAAGAGGTGTGGACTTGGGCCCCTGCCCCCCACCTCACGGAACCCCTTCACCTCCCACCTTTGACCTCCAATTCTGTCTGCCATGAGGCGCACGAGGGACTCCTCCAGGCACCAGCTCGAACTTGGGGGACCAGAGGGCCTTGGGTCTCTGAGGGGTCATGGCTTCCCCCGTGTCCCCCTACCCTATCGCCACCGGCACGTCCCGCCCCGGCCTGTCGGACTCCTACTGACGCCACTCCCTGCGCCGCCGCCTCCTGGAAGCCCACCGATGTTAGCCCCCCGCAGCCGCGGCACTCACGCTCTGGTCGTCATCCTCATTGCGCACGTGGTCCGCGATGAAGCGCACGCCATCCACTGCCGAGCGGAGGCCACAGCCATCTGTCCCCACCCCGCCGCGCGCAGACCTGGAGTACGACTCCCCCGGGGCTTCTCGGAAGAGGAGGGCGCCCGCCTCGCGCTCGCGCTGCCGCCGCCTTAGGCGCAAGCGCTGGCGGGCACAACGGTGGCGCGGCTGCTGCATGAAGAGCAGCGTGGGCAGCTTCTCCAGGAAGATCACCTTGACCCAGGGCGCCATGGTGTGCGTGGTGGGCGAGCGGTGGTGCACGTTGAGCACGCAGACGCTGGTGACGATGGAGAAGGTGACCAGCACCATGGTAAACATGAGGTACTTTCCAACGAGCGGCACGTCTAGGGATGTGGGCGGCACGATCTTGGAGATGAGCAGCAGGAAGACGGTGAGCGCCAGCAGCACAGAGATGCACAGTGTCATCTTCTCGCCGCAGTCAGATGGCAGGTAGAAGACCAGAATGGCCAGCGAGGTGATAAGCACGCAGGGGATGATGAGGTTGATGGTGTAGAAGAGTGGCTTGCGCCGGATGATGAAGTCGTACGTGATGTCCACGTAGGTGGAGTCGTCTGGGTTCTCGTTGCGCCTGCCGGGCAGCGCCACGATGTCCCACTCACCACTGGGGGTGAAGTCGTCCAGGCTGGCCACGTCACTCTTGAGCACCAGGTCGATCTCTGTCCGATCATAGGTCCACGAGCGGAACTTCATGGTGCAGTTCTGTTGGTCAAAGGGGAAGTGCTTGACTTCGATCTTGCATGCGCTCTTGTAGATGGCTGGCGGCAGCCAAAAGATGCTGCCATCATAGGAGACCACGGCGTTGGAATAGAAGGACACCTCGTACATGCCGTCAGCACTGTCAAGAGATGAGCACGGTAAGCCGGGCTCAAGCACTCCTGCACCCCAGCCATCAACTCTGCCCTGAGCGGGAAGAGAGGAAAGCCAAGGGAGATAGTGGGAAACCCTCTGGGCAGGAAACCCAGGTCTGAGGGTAACCATCTGGGGCATCCAGAGGTGGGGCAGGAGCTGAGCAAGAAGAGGATATGGGTGAGTTGGTGGCCAGGAGGCCCCTGAGGCCTTTTGGAGGCAGAAAAGGGTGGATGAGGGGGGCTGTCTGCTACTTGTTGTGCATTGTGCCAGCTGGTTGCTCCACGCGAGTTTGGAGAAGTTGAGGGAGCCATGGGGGCCAGAGTAAGGAGCACCAAGCTATGAGGGGGACAGAGGTCAGTGGGAGAGGAGATGCACCTCACTAGTGATTTGGGATCTCAGAGGTAAGTGGGATTATTGCAGGAAAGAGAAACTGGTTCTTTGACCCTGGACAATCCTCTAGGAAAGCCTATTCTTGAGTCAGTATAGACACTGGGGCTGTCAATCTTTATTTATATCCCACTGCAGCTCCAAACCGTGGGACTCATGTTGGCTGGGAGGGACCTGGCTATGACCCAGATTACCTTGTAGTCATCCAAGTTCTCCACATTACACTTCACCAGTCTGGTTCTGTGCCAGTGACAAGTCCCTACTGTCCTGCAGCATGAGCTAATTTACATTCCTTAAGACCCCTTCCCTCCCAGAGCATTCTTGTGGTGTCCTCCAGCCTTCTCATTGCTCCAAGGCCACCTACTTGTTGTATAGGACCACGTCTGGGAGCCAGATGTGTTTGGAAGGGAGCCGAACTTTCTTCATGTTGTCAAACTCCTCAGGCTTCCAGGTAAGGCGATAGTCCTCCCATTCCTGGGACAGGGAGAGAGGGAGCATTACCAGCCCGTGCCCTTGGTGAGGCTCAAGGTCAAGGACAAGGGAGGGGGCAGTCTAGCTTGAGGAGGTTTTCAAAATCCATCCCCTCCCCACAGTGACTTTTCTGTTCAGCAGATGTGGCTCATAAGACACTTTCTCATTTAATTTGCACATCTAAGCCAAGATATTAGAATCTACATTTTACAAACAGGAAAATGAATCTTATAGAATTTAACATATCAAAGTCAAAGAGCTGGTGAGTGGAAGAACCAAGTTTCAGATCCAGTTATTTAGCACTCCAACAAATCTATATCTTTCTGCCTTTTTTGAGGAGATTAAAAGAAGGAAAAGCACATGCGAAAAAGAGAGAGAGAGAGAGAGAGAGAGAGAGAGAGGAAAGAGGAGACCAGGGATGTGGACTGGGCAGGAAAAGCACTAACCTGGGTCAACCAGACATTGGTGGTCATGATCTGCTCCCGCTCATGCTGCAGGGAAGAAGAGAAGCTGCCAAGAAGGCCCCCCAGCCTGCAGGCTCACCACAACCACCCATGGCCCTTCCCATAGCTCCCCAAGCCTTGGGAACTACAGAGGAATAAGCACACATGTGAATCCATTCTGGCTGTTCTGACTTCCATAGCTGGGCAGAGAGTTTGGGACCCCCACTCACCACACTAATGAGCTGGGCCAGGGACACCATGAGCTGTACCGTCACCAGCTCAGAGCCATTGGTGGCCGGGCGAATGAGCTTGTTGTACCGGGAAGGATCCAGGAGATGCTCCACTAGCCGCTCCTCTGTGTCAGTGCCCCAGACTCCTGGGCAGGGGGGTGGGGGGGTTGGCAGGAAGGAAGGAAGTAGGCAAGGAGGGCCCACCTAGCATCCCACTCTCTCTAGACCAGTGGGGCAACCAGGCCAAAACAGGAGCTTCCCACCACTCCATCCCTAAGGGTACAGCAAAATACTTATGTTATCCCATGGGGTCCCTCATAGAGAAGCACTTCTATGAGTTCACTGGCTGGGGACACCACACAGATGTCTCCAGACTAAAAACCCAGTCTTCTAGGTTAGTGGAAGCCTGCTCTTCCTGCAAGATCTCAGACCGTGGCTTCAAAAAACATGAGATTTGGGATCCCTGGGTGGCGCAGCGGTTTGGCACCTGCCTTTGGCCTAGGGCGTGATCCTGGAGACCCAGGATCGAATCCCACATCGGGCTCCCGGTGCATGGAGCCTGCTTCTCCCTCTGCCTATGTCTCTGCACCTCTCTCTCTCTCTCTCTCTCTGTGACTATCATAAATAAATAAAAATTTTAAAAAAACCATGAGATTTCATGTTTTTATGGCTTCTCCTAAAAGATCTCTCCAATTCAAGGAGGGTTTTGGGTGGTGGTGAAAGGGAACAGTTCCTTATGTTCCACAACCTTTCTCCTCAGTCCAGGTCCGTGTATACAAGGAACATGAGGTGCCTCCACACGTGACTTTCGGTTTTGACCCCATCCCATCCCCACCTTCAAAGACACTGATTTGGGGTGGATGGCTGGGCTGCCTGTGCTGTGTGTCAGTCCCCAATTCCACACACACGGGAGCCCACCTCCCATGAGATGGCATGCAGGTGTGGGAAGCTTGTTTAGTTGTCTAATCACTTTGTACCTGCCCCTGCATAGACTGTCCTGCAACTCTGCACAAATGTACCCCACTCCCTCAGAGCTCCAGCCTGGCCCTCAGAGCTCCAGCCTGGCAGAGCGTCTTCCCTTGAAAGTCTTGTATCCCACCCTACAAGAGAGTCGAGAAGTCACTCAGTCCCCTTCCTGTTTGGTCCCTGTGGAGTGGCCAGACTTAGGAACCCAATGTGGGGCACAGGAAATGATGGAGCACTAAGGGAAGGTGCCCATCCAGGTAGAGTTCTGGAGATAATGTTTCACGAGAAGTCAAATGGCATCTCAACCACAGAGTGTGCGCTCCTGCCACCCCAGAAAGCCTGGGGAGACACCCCCCCCCCCCCCGCCAGTGCCCCTGCCATCCCCACCATTGCCCAGATCCCCCTCGATTCCTTGCGTCGCCTACTCCTGCGAGAACGTCATCATTCCAGCTCGGTCTTCCTGGCGCCCCCCACCTCTGGGGATCCCCCTTCCAGCTAGAAGCGCGGTCCTTACCTGAGTGCAGCCCAAGGAGGCCAAAGCCCAGCAGCAGCGCTGCGGGCCCGGAGCGCGTTGCCATGCCGCGGGCGGGGCGCTGTCCGCGGTGCTGAAGCCGCGCCCGCGCCGCCAGAGGGGCCCTGCGCGGGGCCGCGGGGCGTCGGGGGTCCGGGGCTACGGGGCTGCGGTCGTCCGGGGCTATGGGGCTGCGGGAGAGACCAGGCTTCTTGCTAGCACCGGCCTGAGCAGACGGAGGCTTTTCCGGCTGCTCTTGCCGGGAACACAACTCGGACGGTGAGGGGGAGGAGTCTCCGCCCCGGAGGCGGAAGCGCCAGAGCCCAGAAAAAAAGGGGCGTCCCTGGGTGGGACGTTCTGCTGCTCAGCCAGCTCACCGGATGGGGGAGTGCTGGAGCCTGCAGTGGGGGCAGGGACCGGGAGGACTCTGAGAAGGGCGGGAAGCAGCAGCGCGGGGAAGACCATTAGGTCAGGACCCGGCGGGGAGTCGGGAGGAGTTTCTGGGGCTCCCGTCTTCCTTCTTTGCTCTTACTAATCCAAATGATACTGATTCTCTGGGAGACTCAGGATGCAGCTAAGAAAATGCATTGTAGGCCCTTCCAGAAAGAGACAGGGGCTGTGGGTTTGCTATTTTTAAAAAGCAAACAACTTCAGAGTCTGGAAACAGTCATCTGTCCCCTTCTCTGCGTCTGAAAACTCCCTTAAAGGCCAAGCTTCCTGCCCTCCCCCAGGGGCCTGAAAAGAAAGCAACTTTCACGATTGGAAGGGTAAGTGGCCCTTACTCCCTTTCACTGCGGGGTTTGGCTTCTGTGTTACAAAGGGGATCCAAGGACCATTTTCACAGAGGCCGACCTAAGAATGAAGCTAATGCAAAGAAGAGCAAACGTGAGACAGAGGATTCACAACCCAATGACATCTTTGACCAGGAAAGCCCTGCACTTTCAGCTTCTGAGTCAATCAAGTCTTCCCTTTTCTCTTAGGTGGATTTTTGTCACTTGCAACTAAAAGATTCCTGACTAAAGCAGCCTTATCATACGTCCAGGCTCTTTTTCCATCTCTGCCTCCTCCTTCAACCTGGTCTGGACCACTATACCCAGCTCCACATCCCACTGCTGGTGAGGTCTCTAAGACTCTGAACACTCTAAGACTATGAATACTCTCCACCCCACATCTGTCCCATCCTCCACACTTCAGGGCCTTTTAAACATGTAGTTCCCTTGGCTATTTTATCACATTTCCCCTCAGCCGCTTTTTTTTTTTTTTTAAGATTTTGTTTATTTACTCATGAGAGAGAGAGAAGTAGAGACACAGCCAGAGGGAGAAGCCGGCTCCATGCAGGAGCCCAATGTAGGGCTTGATCCCAGGACCTGGGATCATCCCGAGCTAAAGGCAGATGCTCAACTGCTGAGCCACCCAGGCGTCCCCCCTCAGCCACCTCCTAATGAACTTTGATCACTTGACAGAAGTGTCACTTCTTCAAGGAAGCTGTGCCCTGCTGTACGTTTGCAAAGCTGCCCAGTGAAGAAAGGAGTCAACCAAAGGCAGTGGCTGCCTCTACTGCTAGACCACGAACCAGCACAGGGCCAGTCTGGTCATGACAGCTCAACAATAAGCAAAGGGGCTGGTATAGGACCAACATCTTCTAGTGTAGGGAAAATTCCTTATTTATTTTTAAACAGTTTGAAGATTTTATTTATTCATGAGAGACACAGAGAAAGGCAGAGACATAGGCAAAAGGAGAAGCAGACTCCCTGTGGGGAGCTCGATGTGGGACTTGATCCCAGGACCCTGGGACCACGACCTGAGCCTAAGGCAGATGCTCAACCACTGGGCTCAACCACCCAGGCACCCAGGAAATTCCTTTTTAAAAACTCAGCTAAAATCAACTTATTTAACATGCCCTGTTCCTCAAATTGAACAGCAAAAACAAGACAAGTACCAGAAAGGGAGAAGTGGGTGGCCACAGACCCTATAATGCACATGGTAGTGGGGGCTAAGACCTGCAGCACAAGCTCCAGGAAAAACGGATGCATGAACATGTAATGATCTTTTAAGAATCAAAGAGATCTTGGAAGCGTGGAAAGGAGTGGAGAAGAAAAGCCTTAAGGAAAAGAGAAGAAATGTGTGCCACTACTGTATTTGATGAAAGGGTCAAAGGTGGGGAAAAGACCCACCTTCAACAATTCAGATCAACATTTGTTGGGTTTCTAGTGGTTATCAAGGATTGTATATGTGTTGATACAGTGACCAAAGGACCCAGCTATTAAGGAGATCACAGTGTGGTGGCTATTCAGGCAGAGAAGTGAACAAGGTGCAAGGAGGAGGGGAAGGTAACAGTGCCTGAGCATCTGCAAGAAGTGGAGATGAAACAGATTTCAGAGGAGGAAGTTTGCAACACAGGTGCCTTAAAGGCATTTCAAAGTCCTTACCAACAGGACCAGTGACTACACACGCAGATATACTTGGTACTTAGCACTTTTTTCTTTTGGTGGATGCACAGTGACTGAGGAAAGCTCCTATGAAAATCTCTCTCTGGAGTGGTTGCTGGTTTCTGGGATGATGGACCAGATGGTCATCTGCTTGCTTGCTTGCTTGAAGCTCTTGACAGCTCCTTGGCGCTCCTTTCAGGCCATCTATGTGGCCTGTTCACCGTGGCCTCTATCTTTTCTTTTGAGATTCCCCAGCTTTTGCTTCACTTTTTTTTTTTTAAGATTTTATTTATTTATTCATGAGAGATAGAGAGAGAGGCAGAGACACAGGAAGAGGGAGAAGCAGGCTCCATGCAGGGTGCCCAATGTGGGACTCCATCCTGGGTCTCCAGGAACAGGCCCCAGTCCAAAGGCAAATGCTCAACCCCTGAGCCACCCAGGCATCCCCCCCCCTTTTTTTTTTAAATACAATACAGAACACTTCACGAATTTGCAGGTCAGCCTTGCCCAGGGGCCATGCTACTCTACTGTTTTAGTCTATGTGCTGAGAAGTGAGCTTTACTTCAAGTTTAATTCCAGCTCAGCAGGAGTCCTCTGAGTACAACCACCCAGTGGCCAAGGAGAGCTGGACTGCCTTCCCTCATGTCTCACACACGCTTGCTCCTCGCACACCCACAAAAAGAAAGGCAGTCAGGGAGAGAATCATGCAGGGATGCTCAGATCTAGAAGGCTCAGCCCCGAAGCAAAACTGTGACCAGGAAAAGTTCTGGTGGGACACTCCATTGCCTCTGATGGTAAGGGACATTTTCTCTTGTGAAGCACTACAATTAATGCTACTTTCTTTTAAGTTATTTTAAAATTAAAAACTATTTAACTGTTAAAAAAAAAACTATTTAACTGTTAAAAACTATCACCACAGTAATACATATTCATGAAGACCGATTGGAAAACACCAATTAGCTACACAAAGTCCAAAAGGTTCATAATCCTACCTCTTAGGAAAAAATAACTGTTAGCACTTTACATATAAATATTTAAATATTTATACATTAATAAAATATATACAGTATACATATAATATCTATGACAAGTATCTATACGAATATTATGTACCTCTAAATTTACCTATGTGTACTTAGATATTATATGCAAAACATATATAAATTACAAGTGCACAGCTAAATTTTCACATGAACACATCCATTAGTCCCACCCATATAAAAAAAAAAAATAGAACATTACCAAGATCCAGAATTTCCCATTATGTTCCCTCCCAGTCATTATTCCCTCCTTTTCAAAAGGAACATGATAGAGGGAGGGCAGAGTTGGAGGGGAGGCTGCTTAAAGTTCTAGAACTAACAGAGATCATGAGTATACAATACTGTTGATGTATGGAATGCCACTGGACTGTACACTTTAAAGTGGTTACAATGTGTAAATCCTATGTTACACGTTTTCCCACAATTAAAAAAAAACTGAAAAAAAAAAAACCCCAGTATTCTAACAGAACACATTGGCTTTACCTGCTAAATTTTATATAAATGGAGTCATTGGGGTACCTGGGGGGAGCTCAGTCAGTCAAGAGTCTGCCTTCGGCTCAGGTCATGATCTCAGGGTCCTGGGATTGCATTCTGTATCGGGCTCCCTGCTCAGCAGGGAATCTGTTTCTCCCTCTCCCTCTGCCCTCTCCCCACTCCTGGTCTCTCTCACAAAAATAATCTTTAAAAAAAAAAAGTAAATGGAATCAGAATCTTTGTGTGTGTGGCTTTTTTAGACATGACATTAGTGCGACTTGTGGGCCCTGCTGAACATGCTCCCCTGTGTGAATATGCCCTTGTTCATCCACACCACTACTGTCAGATTTGTGTTGTTTCCTGTTTTGAATTATTAAAAATAATACTGCCATAAACGTACTTGTTCATGTTTTTGGTGTACAAAAATATGCATTTGTTGGGTTCATAACTAAGTCACGTACATTTTTACTCATTTTTTTAAAAAGGAACATCCCGTAAATCTAGACTCGTAACCTTCCTTTTCTATTTACTGTTCCTCCAACACCTCTCTATGCTGGTGAGTATTCTTTGGTAACTACTGTTAATTGCTGCACTGTGTTCTACTGCAGGTAAGTTTCTGCACATTTCTTTAATAATTTCCAAATGACATTGCTGGATCAAAGATTTTTACATTTAATTACTGATGTATTGGTAAACTGATACTATCTGGGTTGCCCTGGGGCTTCAGCCTAAAATTCCAGGGTTGAACACCTCCACACTCTTAGGATCTTGTCTATGCTGAGCCTTCACCTATCCTCTCTTCTACCTTACCTTTCCTCCGGATCTCCTTCTACTTTGGGACTCAGTTCTCTCAGACTGTCCCCCCATTTCCATCTAAGTAGGTTCCTCACATTCCATCTTGGGAGTTAACTCTGGTATCACCCTTTAAGGCTCCTGCTGCTCTTGATCCCTATTGTGTTCATCACATTGCCTTACAGTGATCCAATTTACCCATCACCATGTGCTTCTGAGGGCAGGAGTAAGAGACACAAGGGAAAACCATCCGTGAGCAGCAGCTGTCGTGGAAGGAGCCTCTGCTCTGTGCCAGGAGTCACTGCCTCCCAGTGTTCACGACAGTCCCTGGCAAAGAGCAAGAGCTCAGGATGTATTTGTTGAGTCTGGGACAGAATACTATGCTTCTGGGAGCAAGTCAAAAGAGAAAGCCACTCACTTTGTCCCGAACAGGCACATGTCCTCACTTCAATAACACATGGCCTTTTGGAGAAAAAACAAAAATCTCTATACTTTACTTTTCATAGAGCAGCCAAAATGACCTTTTAACATTTTCAATCAGATCATGCCATTCCTAGCTTAAAATCTTAAGTGGTTTCCCAATGTACTGTAAATAAAACCCAGACAACCTTTCACCACTGGCCCCCTTTCCTCCCCTCTCTCCTCTTAGGAGACGGTACGCAGACTCTCTACTTTCCAAAACTTAAAAATCCCTTATCATGTACACCATTCTAAGCACTTTTCATGTCATCCCACCCGGTCTCCTCAGACACCAGGACAATCTCCCCGTTCCAGGAACAGAAACCAAAGCAGACAGGCTGAGCAACTTGCCTGGTCAACATCTTCCTTGATCTTAAAGGAAAGCCCAAGCTCCTACACACAGTTTTGAACATCTGCTAGGATGTAACCTCTGCCTGCTGTATGTGCACCCATCACCCTAGCTCTTCTTCTAACCTGCCACCGTCCTAACCTCTAAACCTCCCCACACACCATACCTTCGGCCTGGGACAGCACCCAGCCCTTTCCTCCCTACAGAAGGCAACTCATCAGTCAGAATGTTGCATGCTGCTTGTTCAGGGGAGCCTCCCACTGGACTAGATGCAGGGAAAGGGCAGGACGGGCCCCTCACGTCCAGCACGTATAGGTGCTCAGTAAGCATGATAAATCTAGTGAGTCAGTGGGTGTTAAAGAGGTCACCTTTGCTGTATCTAACTCCCCCAGTGAAATGCAGGCCCCACTAGAGCAGGGAGCTTTGTTTTATTCACTCCTGCTTCCTGAGCATCTAAGGGTTCATTAAATAATTGTTAAGTACCAGTTGCTTTTATGCCTGATGCCCCTGCCCTGCATGTGTCAGCAGAACGCTACATAGCACTCCCTACCAGGCTTCCTCCAGAGGGCTCTTCCTGCCAGAGCTGCACCAGCAGAGACGGGAAGTTACAGGTCTGTCCTCACTGCAGGACCTGTCTGCACAGCACTGTGGAAACATCTCCTCACCTTGTTTTCTTCTAAGTAAAATTCTTTATAAAATACGGAGTTCAGAGGCGCCTCAGTGGGTTAAGTGTGGGACTCGGTTTGGGTTCAGATCATGACCTCACCGTGATGAAAGTGAGCCCCGCCTCTGGCTCTGCCTGGAGCTGAGCTGCTTAGAATTCTGTCTCCCCTCTCCCTCTGCCTCTTCCTCCCTCCTGCTCACTTTGAATTACAAATAAGTAATTTAAAAAGAAAAATAAATAAATAAAAATAAGGGCAGCCTGGGTAACTCAGAGGTTTAGCGCCGCCTTCAGCCCAGGGCCTGATCCTGGAGACCCGGGATGGAGTCCCATGTCGGGCTCCCTGCATGGAGCCTGCTTCTCGCCTGTGTCCTTGCCTCTCTTTCCTCCTGTGTCTCTCATGAATAAACAAAATCTTAAAAAATAAAAAAATAAAAAATAAAAATATGGAATTCGGGATTTCCCTAATGGTTTCATTTGTGGGATTCTCTCGTTTGGACTGGAGTCAAGCCGTGTGAAACCTCTGGAGAAAGCACCAGGGGAGGCCGAGGGGCAGGCAAGGCCCACGGGCAAGGCCAGCAGCTGCTAGGAGCCTGTGTCCTTTCCCCTCTTGCAAACACGGATAAGACGCCGTCCTCACAGAGCTGGGGAGAGGGAGTGATAGAAACGCTTGCAGGATACCAAGACAGGCAGGGCTAGGTCAGGGGTTGTTGAGGCTACGGGCTCGCATCCCCAGACATGAAAATGACGGGAAAAGGAGGCTCGGCCCCCGAAAGACATAATTAGCCCCAAGAACAGAACACGGCATCCAACCTCGGCTCCTGGCTCCCGGAGCTCCACAGCCAAGATGGCCTTTATCACAGGAGCGAGAGCGCAGTCCACTCCCAACAAAGCTTGGTCTTCCCTGCCGGCCCCGGGGGAAGGGGGGGGGCGGCAGGCCGCGAGGTCGGTGGGCAGAACTCTCCTGGCCCCGGCCCCCCCTACGCCCCTCGCACCCTCGGTGACGGTATCCTCTGGCGGGGGCCAGGGCCACCGCCGGGGAAGAGGGATTGTGGGGGGGGGGGGGAAGTCGGGGTCCCTAGGGATGGCGGACACCCCGGCTCGGCCCCGTACCCCCGCGACCAAAGCCCCCACGGCCCCAGCCTCGTCCTCTGCCACGGGGACCAAAAGGGCCGACCACACCTCGGTCGGGGGACCTGGGCACCGCGCGGTGACCTCTTGGTGTCCTGTGCACCGCCCGGCCCACGCCACGGCTCAGACGAGGAAACTGAGGCTCAGAAGAGCGATGGTTACCCCAAGGTCACCGGGGAGGCCCGGCGGGCAGGAGGGGAGGAGACGAGCCCGCAAGCCCCCTAGCCGCTCCCCAGGCTCTCGCCGCCCCCCGCCCCGCACGGGCGCCGGGGTTCGGGGCCTCCTGTCAGCACGCCACAGGCTCGCCGCCGCGTGGGCCGGAGAAGACGCGCCCGGGCAGGAAGCCGGTCCCGCGCAGGAGGCCCCTGGGAGCACACGGCGCCGGGGCACGTGACGGGGAAACGCCGGCGGGAGGACGCACGCGCACGCTCACGCGCACGGCCTGCGTCAGCACGCGCCGAAGCGCGGAAAGCGCCGGGCCCAAAGCCCCCGGGTCACGTGTGGAGGGCGGCAGGCGAGCACCAGGGGGCGGGCGAGAGAGAGCGGTCACGTGAGGGAGGCCGGCGCCGCGCGGTCACGTGAGGGGCGGGGCGGGCCGCCGGAGCGGAGGGGGAGGGGCGCGCGGCTTCCGGCGGCTGGGGGCCGGCGAGCGGGGGGGCCCCGTCCCGGAGGCGGCGGCGGCGCCATCTTGGCGAAGGGGGGATCAGGAAGTGCGGACCGCGGCGGCGGCGGCGGCGGCGGCGGCGGAGCCCGAGCGGAGGCCGGAGGCTCCCGGCCCGCCGGCCCCGGAGCGGAGCGGAGCGGAGGATGCAGCAGCCGCAGCCGCAGGGGCAGCAGCAGCCGGGGCCGGGGCAGCAGCTGGGGGGCCAGGGGGCGGCGCCGGGGGCCGGGGGCGGCCCGGGGGGGGGCCCGGGGCCGGGGCCCTGCCTGAGGCGGGAGCTGAAGCTGCTCGAGTCCATCTTCCACCGCGGCCACGAGCGCTTCCGCATTGCCAGCGCTTGCCTGGACGAGCTGAGCTGCGAGTTCCTGCTGGCCGGGGCCGGAGGGGCCGGGGCGGGGGCCGCGCCCGGACCGCATCTGCCCCCGCGGGGGCCGGTGCCTGGGGATCCCGTCCGCATC